AAAATGTGTCTGCCTTTGTTACTCTTATTCTCTTACAAGGGTACAGTGGCATTTTCCGGAGACTGTGACACGTGAGGATGTCACTGCTCTGACCACTAACTGAATGTGTGCTTGTGCGTCCTTGGGTTTAAAAAAATTTCAGGGGCGGGCGCCTGGGCGGCTCAGTTGGTTAAGCAATTGCCTTCGGCTCAGGTCATGATCCTGGAGTCCCGGGATCGAGTCCCGCATCAGGCTCCCTGCTCAGCAGGGAGTCTGCTTCTCCCTCTCCCGCTCCCCCCTCTTGTGCTCTCTCTCTCTCAAATAAATAAATAAAATCTTAAAAAAAAAAAATTTCAGGGGCACCTGGCTGGCTCAGTTGGGGGGAGCATGTGACTCTTCATCTCAGGCTCATGAGTTCAAGCCCCATGTTGGGGGTGGAGCTTACTTAAAAGAAAAATCTGTTCATTATGCTAAGTGAAAGAAATCTGGCACAAAAGGCCATATATTGTAGGATCCCACGGATACGAAACATCCAGAAGAGGCAAATCCATACAGACAGAAAGTGGATTGGTGGTTGCCACGGGCTGGGAGAAGGGGAAATGATGAGTAAACACTAACGGGTACAAGGTTTCTTTTGGGGTGATGAAAACGTTCTGGCATCAGTTAAGTGGTGATGATCGCACAAAATAGTGAATATACTACTTTAGATTTTTTTTTTAAAGATTTTATTTATCTATTTGACAGAGACACAGCGAGAGAGGGAACACAAGCAGGGGGAGTGGGAGAGGGAGAAGCAGGCCTTCTGCAGAGCAGGGAGCCTGACTCGGGGCTCAATCCCAGGACCCGGGGATCATGACCCGAGCCGAAGGCAGATGCTCAATGACTGAGCCACCCAGGCGACCCACTTTAGATTTTTTTTTTTTAAGATTTTTATTTTGAAGGAATCTCTACATCCACCGTGGGGCTCAGACCCACGACACCCAGATCGAGAGTTGCACGCTCCACCATCTGAGCCAGCCGGGCGCCCCGTGAATATACTACCTTAAATGGATGAATTTTGTGTTATGTGAATTATATCTCAACAGAAAAAAATTTTTAGCATCAGTTTTAATTTCTGATACAGCTAATATTGATAGGTAGAACTCACAAAAACGAAAGTTCTCGGGAGTCCTCAATGACTTTTAGGACACTGAGACCAAAGAGTTTAAGAACCACTGGCCAAGGGCTGAAGGGCTGGCAGGTGGCAGGGCCAGGATTTCTCTGGAAGCTGAGCTTTTCAACCACCGTGCTGGATTGTCTCCTCATTAAGGCCCATTTCAAAATGGAAAATAAGACTACCACCATCTGCTGTCACTAGTGTTTCAGAGAGAAACTATCCAAAACCACAACCACTCATCATCATGGCCACTTTATAGGGGAGAAGACAGGCTCCCGGGATCCCCCCCAGCTAGGAACCGACAGAGCCAGGATTCGAACCCAGGCAAGCAGGCTGTGGTGCCACCTTCTTGACCATGTGGCAACTGTCAGTCCTCCCAGGAAGGTCACCATCTGAGAATACAGGCCAACCCATTCCCTTTCTGTACGAAGCCTTCAAACTCCAGAGTGCATTTTCCTCTTTCAGCCCACTTCAATTCAGACATGAAATTTTCTTTTTTTTTTAAGATTTCATTTATTTTTTGGAGAGCGAGCGAGAAAGAAACAGCATGAGAGGGGAGAGGGTCAGAGGGAGAAGCAGGCTCCCCGCCGAGCCGGGAGCCCGATGTGGGACTCGATCCCAGGACCCTGGGATCATGACCCGAGCCGAAGGCAGACGCTCAACCATCTGAGCCACCCAGGCGCCCCAGACATGAAATTTTCACTGGAGATACTTGACCTGTATTTAGATTTTGTGATTTCCCACTGCAAAGGTACATCCACATACCCGCTTTGTGCTGAGCGTACTTAAAAGTTTTCCAATAACTCAATCAAGTGTTAGTGCTTAAATTTAAATTAATTAAAATGAGGGGCCCCTGGGTGGCTCAGGTGGTTGGGCGGCTGCCTTTGGCTCAGGTCACGATCTCATGGATCCCGGGATCGAGCCCCACGTCAGGCTTCCTGCTCGGCGGGGAGTCTGCTTCTCCCTCTAACCCTACCCCCTCTTGCACTCTCTCTCTCACTCTCTCTCTCTCTCAAATAAATAAATAAAATCTTTAAAAAATAAAAAATAAAAAAGCACGACCAGAGGGACGCCTGGGTGGCTCAGTCGTTAAGCGTCTGCCTTCAGCTCAGGTCATGATCTCAGGGTCCTGGGATCAAGCCCCACGTTGGGCTCCCTGCTCAGCGGGAAGCCTGCTTCTCCCTCTCACACTCCCCTTGCTTGTGTTTCCTCTCTCGCTGTCTCTCTCTGTGTCAGATAAATAAATAAAATCTTAAAAAAAAAAAAAAAAGCATGACCAGAGCGCCTGGGTGGCTCAGTCATTAAGCGTCTGCCTTCGGCTCAGGTCATGATCTCAGGGTCCTGGGATCAAGCCCCATGTCGGGCTCCCTGCTCAGCGGGAAGCCTGCTTCTCCCTCTCCCTCTGCCTGTGGCTCCCCCTGCTTGTTCTCTGTGTGTCAAATAAATAAAATCTTAAAAAAAAAGGGGGGGGTCAGAGAACCACAAGTGTGGAGAACCTGGAACCCTCAATGCACTGACAGTGGGAATGGAAGCTGGGGCAGCCACTTTGGAACAGTCTGGCGGTTCCTCAAAAGCTGAAACACAGAGTTACCGTTTGACACAGCAATTCCACTCCCAACGGACATGAAACCATGTCCACACAAAAACTTTGGACACAAATATCCATAGTGTCCAAGAGCCAAAAGGTGGAAACAACCCAAGTGTTCATCAACTGATGAATGGATGAACAAACTATGGTATATCTCAGACAAAGGAATAGTATTCAGCCATAAAAAGAATGAAGTACTGATACGTGCTACAGAATGGATTAACCTTGAAAACATTATGCTGAAAGAAGCCAGTCCAAAAAAAAAAAAAAAAAATTCCATTTATGTGACATGTCCAGATTAGGTATATCCGTAGTGACAGAAAACAGAGTAGTGGATATTAGTGCTGGGGTGGAGGGGAAAGTGGGGAGTGACGGATAATGGGTCCTGGGTTTCTTTTTGGAGTGATGAAAATGTTCTAGAACTGACTGTGGTGATGGTTGCACAACTCTGTGTTTATACTAAAGACCACTGAGGGGCGCCTGGCTGGCTTGTAGGTAGAGCATGTGATTCTTGATCTTGGGGTCATGAGTTTGAACCCCACGTCGGATGTGGAATCTACTTAACAAACAAACAAAAAAACACCAAAAAACCCCACTGAATTGTATACTTTATTTTCTTAAGATTTTATTTTTAAGTAATCTCTACACCCAAGGTGGGGCTGGAACTCATGACCCGGAGATCAAGAGTTGCACACTCCTCCAACTGAGCAGCCAGGCACCCCTGAATTGTAGACTTTAAATGGGTGAACTATATAAATAAATATAAATAAATCTGATTTCTGTAAAAAAAAAAAAAAAAAAAAAAGGAAGTCAGCAGATTTTGGGTTTGGCCTGTTGACCCCTGGCATGGAGAAATAAGTAAAATGAGGTTAACAAGAAAACAAAAAGACAAATTCATACCCAGAGGGGATGATCAACAGAATAAGTGATCCAGTTTCTTTCTTTCTTTCTTTCTTTCTTTCTTTTTTTTTAAGATTTTTTATTTGTCAGATAGAGCGAGCACAAGCAGAGGGAGTGGCAGGCAGAGGGAGAAGCAGGTTTCCCGCTGAGCAAGGGGCCCCACGCGGGACTCGATCCCAGGACCCTGGGATCATGACCTGAGCTGAAAGCAGAAGCTTAACCGACTGAGCCACCCAGGCGTCCCTGATCCAGTTTCTTTCATAAGTCAATTACGCCAAGAAGAATAAAGGGTGGGGTGGAGGGGACTATTCTAAATTAAGAGGAATTTAAGAGACATAACAGCAATGATTTGACTGGATTCTGATCCAAACAAATGAAACTTTTCTTTTAAAGGCATTTTTGACACAGGAAGATTTGGTTATTGACCAAGTAATAGGTAATATTCCAGAACTTTTGCTTTTGGAAAGTGTGATGATGGTATTGCGGTCCTGTAAATGTCCCTTGTTTTTACAACATGCATCCTTAAAGCTTTAGGGATGATATGTCACGATGGGTAGGATTTGCCATATATGTATATATTTATGTATTTATACAAGATTTTATTTATTTCACAGAGAGAGACACAGTGAGAGAGGGAACACAAGCAGGGGGAGTGGGAGAGGGAGAAGCAGGCCACCAGCCGAGCAGGGAGCCCGATGCGGGGCTCGATCCCAGGACCCTGGGATCATGACCTGAGCCGAAGGCAGACGCCTAACGACTGAGCCACCCAGGCGCCCCAAGTTTGACCATTTTCATAACAGAACATTAAAGTAAAACCCTTCGAGGCCCAAGTTCACAGCGACCCAACAGCACCGTGGGGATGAGAACCCAGGTCGGCCGGCGCCAGAACTCCACGGAGGACAAGGTCAAACCCCACACCAACTCGGAGAAGGAACGGGCTGTCAAAAAGGTGCAAAGGCGGCGGTGGGCGGCTGCACAATCTCCTCCGCCCTCCCCGCCACAGTCTGGGAAACTGAGGCAGGAAAGGGGGGTCCGTCTTCCTCCACTCCCACTCCTTAACCCCACCCCCTCCCCACCCCCCGCAAGAGTCCCAGTCTCTCCTCCCCCTGGGACTCCCGGTCCCTCGTCCTCTACCGTGAAATACCAACTCTTAGCGGAACTGGCGGATGGAGGCTGAGCTACCTCCAGGGGATGCTGGGAGATGTAGTTCAGCTTCAAATTTGGGGGCCTGGAGTGCTCTATTAATGATTGACAGGGAGTCGGGAATTCGAAATCCTGTCCCTGTCTCCCTCAGGACCCCAGGAGTCTAGCCCGCGGGAAGGCGATCGCAGCAACGTTATCCCGCCGCCGCCTGGAACTCACCTTACAAACGACTCCTCGTTCCTTCGATGTTTCTTCAACTGTGCCCCTACACCGGAAAGGAGGGCTGTTTTCCCTCTCCGCTTCGCCCACTTCCGCCCGGCAAAAAAGACAGGAAGTAGATCTGCCCCGAGTTGCCGAGATACCTCGTCGGACATGGTAAGTCCTCCCTTTTTCTTTCCCTCCCTCCGGAAACGGGAGTAGCAACTTGAAGGTTCCGGTTAGTGCAACTGGCGTGAATATGGGGCGCGCTTAGTATACACTAGGCATTTCCCCGGGCGGGCAATTTCCTGCTTAGGCCCAGGCTTCGCGTTACTCCAAGTTCGAATTTAAGGATTATACACTTCATCCAGAGATTGGGAAGCTCACTCCCCCAAGTCCATCAGTCACTGACTGCATGTTGAGAGACAATTGAGAAGGGACAGTTCCTCTGGCCCCAGCTTATAAGCAGAGCAGTTGAGAAATCAGAAGTCAAAGTCCTTCAAATCACCTCAGGAAATAGGAATTGACTACAGCATCGTCCACCTATGCCCAGGGACCAAGGCATACATACATTTCCCGCCAGTTTTTAGCTATCTAGCTATCTGGAGACCTAGACATTTATTTCCCTAGCTCACCCAGGGAAGGTTCCATCCCAGGGAGGCCAACAAGGGAAGAGGTACATATCCAATCCCCTAAGTGCCCCCACGGTGTCGGTGTCGGAGACCCTGGCTTCCCGGGGGGGCTCTGGACCTTAGGCCCTTCATCCTAAGGTCCCTTTAAATACTTTGTCCCTTACCTGAGTCCCGCCCAGGGCAGGTAATCACAAACCCCGCCCCTCTGCCAGAAACCAGGATCGTCTTGATCACCCGGAGAGGGGAACCCCTCCTTCCTCTCCCCTCCCCTCTCCCCTGTCCCCCATTCACAGCTGGCCGAAGCTGGCAGAGGAAGCCCCGATTGAAGAGGAAGGGAAAGTGCTCACAGGTCTGGGCAGGTAAGTGAATGTCCCCTGGAGGCAGAGCCTGGCTTGGGGACCCTGGCCTCCTGACTCCCTGCCCCTCTGGGACTCAGAAGTTCCCATCCCCCAGCCCCAGGAGTCCAGGACCTCCACTCCCTTCTCCCCCTGGACCCGAGAATATAGGCTTTTTGCCTCTCCTGTGATCTTTGATCTATGTGGGTGGATGTGGCAATGGGCACAGGGAGAGGCAAGTATAGGTGGAAATTACCAAGAAGAAAGGAATCCTGATCACTGATGGACATGTTTATGAGCACCTACTATGTGTCAAGATTCGTGCTGGGATGGGGCGCCTGGGTGGCTCAGTCGTTAGGCATCTGCCTTCAGCTCAGGTCATGGTCCCAGGGTCCTGGGATCAAGCCCTGCATCCGGCTCCCTGCTTAGCAGGAAGCCTGTTTCTCCCTCTCCCACTCCCCCTGCTTGTGTTCCTGCTCTCGCTGTCTCTCTCTGTCAAATAAATAAAATCTTAAACAAACAAACAAACAAACAAGATTTGTGCTGGGTGCTGCAGACATGGTAGAGAAAAAGATAAGCTCCCTGCTCCAGTCTCTGGAGGAACGCTGTTTTCACTCAAATCATGCTTCTGAATCTTGCAAATTGTATTACCTTGGGAAATTCTTTTACCTCTCTGTGCCTCATGTTCCTCATCTGTGAAATGGGGATAATAATAGCAGTGCTGTGAAAATTAAACTGAGTTGCCACAGGGACCAGGCCCAGAATACAGGCTACGTAAGGGTCTGCTATGATTATATGATTATTATCATGGACCATAGAGTCCAGTCGGGGTGACCTTGCCTCATTCCCCAGGGGCTGAGGCACTTGCTATCTCTTTCACTCCTGGTTTCAGGTGTTCATAAAATATGAGGGGCTACCCCTCTCTGCCGCTGCTATACCTGGGATTGACCACCTGCTTAGACACCTCACCCAGTGGGGAGCAAGACCAAGGTGAGTGTTTGAGGGACGAGCTGGTGTCCAGGCACAGACCTCCATCCACCTTCCCCTGACTCAGGAACCCTTGCCTCTAGTCCCCTCCTCTCCCAGAACGCCATAGTTCTCCATCCCCTTAGGTTCGGGTTCCTCCATGTTCCCCAGGCTTAGGAACTCTCCATTTCTCTGTCCTTCGTGTCCTTTGGGCCCAGGAGTCTTCCTGGACTCCCCAGAAGCCCAGAGCTTTCTAGGAAGCCATAGCCGGATTCCACGAGCCAATCACTGGGACCTGGAGCTGTTCACGCCAGGGAACCTGGAACGAGAGTGTTATGAGGAGCGATGTTCCTGGGAGGAGGCGAGGGAGTATTTTGAGGACAATACTCTGACGGTGAGAGCCACTCCAGGCCCTGGGATGTCCTGGCCCACAATTCCCTCTACCCTGGGTCTCAGAAATCAGGGTGGTTTGGTTTGGGGGGTATGGAATCTCCCCGTTGACATGCTGTCTTTCCACCTGCTCGACTTCCATCCTTTCAAGGAGCGCTTTTGGGAGAGTTACATCTACAATGGCAAAGGAGGTGAGTTGGGGCGGGGGGAGCGGGGGCTCTTGTTCTGTGGAGCTAAGGCAGCCCTTCCCTCTGGAGGTTGAACCAGCATCCCCTACCCCAAATTTGCCTCCTCCAAATTCAATGCTCCCTGAGTATCCTGGAGGTGGTTATTAAAAGAGTCCCCTCCTTTGAGACTAGAGCCCCTGCCTGAGGAACCCACCACACCTTATTTGGAGGAGGTCTCATGTCTTTAGGAAGAAGGAAGTGCAGGTGGAGAGGGGTTACAGCCCTGGGGCCTATGAGACCTCAGGCTCAGAGGCCCCAACCCACCTGAGTCCTTCTTTGGAGTCCGGAGCCCCAGCCCTTCTGCAGCTTGGTTGCTAGGGGGACTGCTCCCTAGCAACGGGGCCTGGCCACCCCAGGCCAGGCTGTGGAAGCCTGTGCATCCTCACCTTCCCAGGCTGCCCGCCCCCAACCCTTCCAGTGACTTCTAAGGCCCCACCATGGCTGCAGTCTTGTTGCTAAGGGGGACTGCTCCTTAGCAACCAGGCCTGGCCAGGCCGGACCAAGGAAGCCTGCAGCACTCACTACCTGGCTGGCTTCCCCTCCCCCACAGCCCCATCCCGGCCTTGGCCTGGTTACCAAGGAGGCCTCCCTAGCAACCACACCTAGCCAGGCTCAGGACCCAAGGCCCACTGCCCAGGGAGGAACCCCCTCCCTGCACCACATGCCCCATCCCCTTGTGGCCTGGTTGCTAGGGGTGGATGCCCCTTAGCAACAAGCCCTAGGTCTGGGCTGGAGTCCTCACACTGGAGCCTGGTTGCTAGGGGAAGTAACTACCTCACTGCAGGCCTAGTAAGGCCTGGTGGCTCCTTGAATCCACCTGAAACATGTCAGAACTGGGAGGGCCTGCCTTCCCAGCGCAGCTCTGTGCTAAGGGGGCTGAAAGCCTGGGGTTTACTGTTTGAGCAAAGCTCCTGACCCAGTGCTAAAGGAAGTTTCCCCAGCAGCAAGACCCAGGAGGGCCTCACCAAGCTGGTGTTCTCCCTGTGTCTGCTTCCCTTCAGATAAGTGGCCTTGGATTGCTAAAGGCCTAGGGTCCTAGCAAAGGGCCCACCTGAGTTCTAGACACCCAAAAATCTGTTAGTTGGTGGGGGGTGATCCCGAAATTCCTTCATTGATAAATGAATTTTTCATAGCCTTCTGGTCAATTCAGAAACCTTCCTGCGATTCTGTTCTTCCTTCAGAATTGAGGTCTGGCCCCTCAGTGGCCTGGATGTGGTAAAGGGACTATGTTCCAGAGGCGGGGAGGGGTGCCAGATAAAACATAGGACAACCTCCCCATCAGTTAAATTTGAATTTCAAATACAAATAAATTTTTTAGTATAAGTATATTCTAAATACTCCAAGGGACATACTTACACTATAAAATATACATTGTGTATCTAAAATTAATGTTTAATTGGTGTCATATATTATTATTTGCTAAATCTGGTAATGCTCAGTGTGGGGGCCTCTGCAGTTGCCTACCTGAGCTCCCCACCCCCAACTTCAGTGTGTCCATTGCCCTCTTAGCAGATGGATTTTGCTTAGGAGGGACTTGAGCCACGCTTTGTCCAGGGAGGGGCCTCTGTCACCATGGGGATTCCACCACCATATTTTTTTAGTCCCAGGTGAAGTTATCATAGACCCTTTATGTGTTTGATCTCAATGAATTTCCACAGCCCATGGGGGAGGACTTATTGTTCCCATTTTATAGAGCAGCAAATGGAGGCTTAGAGAAATGAGTGGGTTGAGTTTCCTGGGGTCATGCACCTAGGAAGTGGCCCCTGCCGTTCTGCTTTGCTTCTTGGCCTGTACTCTTCCTTCAGGGGGAAGGCATTGGGTTGTCGGGGTGAGTGACAGCCCCTGACACAGTGCCCCCCCACCCCCCCACTGCAGGGCGTGGACGAGTGGACGTAGCAGGCCTGGCTGTGGGGCTGACGTCTGGCATCCTGCTCATTGTCCTGGCCAGCTTGGGAGCCTTTTGGTATCTGCATTGCCGACGGGGTGGAGGCCAGCAGCCCTGTCCCCAAGAGTAAGGAGGATTCAGAGAGAAGGGGCCTGGGGGCTGGAAAGCAGGGTGAGCAGAGGAAGAAGGAAGGGTGGACCTAAGGAGAGATGAGTCAAGGATTGGGACAGGTGGGCACTGAGGAAGGATCTGGGGAGACTATCAGGTGGAGAGTCAGTCTGTGAGAACGTGTGGGTATGGTTCTTGCCATTTGTCTGACTATGTCCTCAGTACCCGGCACACAGTAGGAGCTCAATCAGTATTTGCCGCCTGTCTCCATGGTACCCGGTTTATGTGTGATCATCACTCTGTCTGCATTGTATCTGGTGAGGCTGCAGCGTGTGGTCTCTGGGTGTCTGTGATATGTCAGTTTCCGTGGTGACAGGCACACGTGTGTGTGTGTGCGCCTTCTGAGTTGTCAAGGCGTGTCTTTCTCAGTGGCAGGGTTTAAGAAAGTGCTTGAGTGTCAGTCTTCAAAGTATGGCGGGTCTGGGGGTTTTTCGGAAGGGTTTGTTAAGAGTGGCACGGGGAAATTTGTGACTGGGTGTATCTCTGTGTTGTGTCTGCTTCTGTGTGTGTCTGCCTGTGTCTCTGCAGGGCTTTTTCTCCATTGCTCTCCTGTAGCTGGAACGCATGTGTGTCTGTGAGTAAGAGTATGTCTCAGCAGTTAATTTGTGTCTGCCCCTCTCTGTTCGTCTGCCTGTCACTCTGAGGTGCTTTTCTGTGTGCCGGGTCAGGCTGAAGGTGACCCTCTTTCCCCCTGCTCTTTCTCCCTTCCATCTGTGTCCCCATGCCACCCTCAGAGTCTCTGTGTCCCTAGGTCTTCCCGCCTGCCTTCTCCCCAGTCCCTCTATCCTGTAGGTTTCCCCGGCTAACCGTGTACTTTCTGTCCCCAGGGCTGAGCTCATTAATTCCCGAAGCCCCCTGGGCGACCTAGGCCCACCGACGCCCCTGCCTCCACCCCCACCCCCAGGCCTCCCCACCTACGAGCAGGCTCTGGAGGCCTCTGGGGTGCACGACCTACCTCCGCCCCCCTACACCAGGTACTGGGCTGGGCTTCTACCCGGGGGTGGGGAGCAGAGGGGAGGATGCTGCGGGAGGAGGGGCGTGGGCTCAGGGGCGGGACTTGGAATTTTGAGCTTATTATCCGGGGCGAGGCTTGGAGCGTGGGGGCGGGGTCCTATGCAATTATCTGGGGGCGTGGCCCAGTGTTGTCCGTGTGGAGCTTTACCGGAGGGTGGGTCTTACGCCCAGAGGGTCTGCGATTGGCTGAGACGCCCGCGGGCGGGTCGGAGTGGTCTAGGTTCAGGGAGGGAAAAACAGCCGGGTCTTTGACTCCCCGTTGTGCCCCTCCCCTTGCAGCCTCAGGAGGCCTCGCTGAGGAGCTGCTTCGGAGCCGAGGTTCCCCAGATTCACAGCGGATTCCAGAGCCCCCAGGCCTCTTAAACTACATAGCTGAGATCGGGGAGTGGTGGGAGTGGGGGTCGTCCGGCCTGAGGCCTACCCTGGCACACGTGTTTCCGCCGAGGACGGATACGCGCATAACCCCGGCCGTGTTCCCTTGTCCCGGTTACTCGCGGGCTCCCAGGCTTTCCTGACTTGGGGAGGGGGGTACCCGCCAGTCCCGCCCCCGGGTAGGCGTGCGTGGAAACTCGGACCCCGGCGCGTAGGCCGGGTATACCCACTCGCGTGAGTGAGCGGGTGTGACAAGGCCATCGCCCTACAGTGCCACGGGCCACGCACACGCAGGGCCCTGCTTATGCACACGCATGTTTTCGTGCGCTCCCGGTGCGCGCTCGCAGGAACCCGGGGAAAGGGCGGGGGGCATATTTGCAAACGTGCTTTTTAGGGGAGGGCTCGCGTTGCACCGGGAGACTGGAGTTGAGCTCCTCTCGTAAATGAAAATGCTTTGTAAAAGAGATAAAAAGTGAAACAACGCAAAAAAATAAAAACCAAATAAACTGAATTGCATTCCCGGGCGCGTCTGCGCGCGGCGGAGTTGGCTTTCTGTACAACGCTGCGCCCTACACCCCCAGGCCCTGCTAGCGCTCAGTATCTCTCTCTCTCTTTTTTTTTTTTTACATTTGCACGGGATTGTGGGAGGAAGCGGAGCGCAGCCAGACACCCCGCCGCCCGCCCCCCCTTCCCCTCCCCCCTCCCCCAGCCGCCTTGTGCAAAGATGGCTGCACCGTGAGCGCAGAGGAGGAGGAGGCGGCGGCGGCGGCGGCGAGAGAGCGAGCACCCAGCGCCCGCACCCACCCCGGGGCCGCCCGGGACGCCCCCTCCTGAGCGCGCGCCCTCCCTTCTCTCTTGCAAGCGCCGGGGCAAAGGCGGAGACAGCGGGGTCCCTCCTACCCCCCTTTCCCTCCAGGGGGAACCCCCCTTCCCCCCTCCTTGGCTCGGCGGCTGCACCCCCCTCCCTTGCCCGCCCCTCCGCCCCTGCCCCCTCCCTCCCCAGCCCGGGGCCTTCCCGGGCCTTCGGTGGCTGCAAAGAAAAAGAGAGAGAGAGAGAGAGAGAGGGGAAAAAAAAGCAGCAGCGGAGGGAGCGGCGGCGGAGGAGAGCGCGCGCGCGCCCCCTCCCTCCCTCCCTCCCTCCCCCTCCCCCCAATTTCCACCGCGGCCAATTCATGGACAGGAACTACCCCAGCGCCGGCTTCGGGGACCCGCTCGGCGCCGGGGCGGGATGGAGTTACGAGAGGTCAGCGAAAGCTAGGTAAGGAGCCGAGGGTGGCCTGGAGGAAGGGGCCAAGGGGTGGGGGCCAGCCGGGCCGGGCCTGGCCCGCCTGGCGAGGCGTGCATCGCAAACTCCCCTCCGGCTTGCAAGGGAGCGGCCTTCCTCGGTTTGCAACAACGCCGCCGCCCCAGTTTGCAAATTGCAAACTCCGCCAAAGCCAGCTCCGGCATGCAAAGGGAGAGATGCAGCGGGAAAATGGGGGTGCAAAACAATTTCGGACGGAAAGGCCCTGGGAAGGTGGGAGGGACTGGCGAAGCAAGGCCTGGATTTCCCCCCATCCTTGGATTCCCGGCTTGCTGATCCTTCCCCCCTGCGCCCCAGGCTCTGCTCTTGCAAAGGTGGGATGGAAAGGAGAATTAGAACGCAGACCTGGGGGGCGCCCCCCCTCCCGTCCTATTGTTCCGGGACTGCGCGAGGCCGCGCCACTCGGCCTCCCCCCCCGAAATTCCGCGCGCAGAGTGGGCACAGGGCCCCGCCCCCTTTCCAAGCTGGGGTTCTGTGTGTGTAGGGGGGGGGTCCTGGAATCTGAGACACGCCCCCTTTAGCTCCCCCACCCCCAAAGGCAGAGAATCCTAGTTGATGGCGAGGAGTGGAGTATTTGACCTCTTGAGTCCGAGCCATGAATCGGGGCCGTTGCATGGGAAGATTCAGATGTTTCCCTGGTGTGTGGTTGTGTGTGTGAGCGTGGGCCCTGTTCGTGCTTAGTTGGTAGCCTGCTCACCTGCGAATCAGCCCCTTTCCTGCTGTTTATGTCCTGCCCTCACTCTTCACCTGTCCCCAGCCCCCCGCCCCCTGGGTTTCCCAGCGTGGCTGGGCATGACCCCACATGTGTAGGATTTTTCATTTGGGACGTAGCGCTCTGTATGTTTCCTTCCCCACGGGTGAGCTGGATAGTCGTTTGCACACATACCTGGGTTTGCAAGGGCTCATGCATTTGAACCTCAACCCTGGGGGATGGACGTTATTCATGTTCGCACTTGTACCTGGTGCTTTCCCCTAGTCCTATCCCTTCCCCACCCCCCATCCCAGCCGTTTGGGGAACAGTCTACCTCCTGCTCCCGACTCGGTTTGCATCACTCCATGAGGTTCAGGGCCATGTGTTCCCACGTGTGTGCAGTAGAGTGGGCGTCCTTATGCACCTCTCAGGTTGGCCCCAGGGCCTTGTGTCATCCAGGGGCTGGTGGGCTCTGTAGGAGGTCCATGCCTTTCACATTTTTAACTTGAGGCACTTTCTCCGACTCTTCACCCTCTTCTGTTTGTCTCGTCGCTGTGCATGGCTGTGTTTGTAAACGTGAGACTATCTGGGCTCTATTTATTGGGGCTCGAGTGGGGAATGTTTCATGACTCTTTTCGTTGGGTACCCCGATTCCCTTGTCTTCTTTCCTTTAGGGCCCAAGGTTCCTTAGGATAACCCCCAGTCAGCTGGAAGATTCCCCCCACACCCCGGGGGATTTGCTGAGGTCCCTTCTCCTAGGGCAGCCTCGGAGGACACCCTAACATCTCTCCCTTCCCCCCAGCTTGGTCTATGGCAGCTCCAGGACCTCGCACCCCGAGACCGACATCTTACACCGCCAGGCCTACGCGGCCCCCCACCCACTGCAAAGCTATGCCACCAACCACCACCCGGCAGGTACGGCCCCCGTCCTGCCCCGCCTGGGCTGGCCCTCCCTCCGAAGCAGCTGGTTGGCTGCTGAAAGTTCCACCCCTCCTAATTGGCCGTGCCCTGTGTCCTGGCCCGCCCCTTGCTACCTCTCCTCTGATTGGTTGCCTCTGAGGCTGCTGGTCCCTGCTCAATTTCACGCTGGATTCGTCCACCCTTGTCTCTGGCCCCGCCTCTTTCGCTCCAATTGGCCCCGTCCCCTCAGCCCCCAAATCCCACCTTCTCTTCCAGGCTTTTCCTCCTCTCTATCCCACCCCAGTCCTTTTCCTCTGGGTTTGCCCATCCTCTTGGCTCCTTGGTTATGTGAATTCTCTCTTCCTGATTCCTTTTTTTCCTGATTGGCTCTAAGTCTTTGGGCCTTCCCTTTTTTCCCTGGGTTTGCCCACCACCTTATTCTTCCTCCTGTAGTCCTACCTCTAGCGCTTCTGATTGGTTCCCTTCTGCCTCGTTGAACCAGCAAGGAGATTATATTGTCCGATTTGATCCTTAACTTTCCTGGTTGGCTCCTTACCTTTTTTCTTTCCTATTTTTTTCCCCCCGGGATCCTCCCACTTTTAATCAACCCCTTTCGGCCTGTACTCCGGTCCTTCTAAGTGGCCCCAGGTACCCCGTCCCTTCCCCTTCCTTGCTAGAATTGCCCAAATCCTTTAGTGTTTCCCCTGCCCCGCCCCCCCCCCCCCCCCCCCCCCCGCATAAGAACTCTGTCCTGTTGCACCCACTTCCTTTGATTCTGGGTTTTTCTACTCCTTTACCTACCTTTCCTTTCCTGGGTTCCCTGCCCTTATGATTGGCGTACACTTCATCCTGCTTTTCGGCTCCCTTTTTCCCCTTTGTTGTCCTCGGCCCTGTCTCCTTAGCTTGGCTGTGTCCACTTTATCCTCTTTGAATCTTCCTCTTTGCTTCCTCCAGCCCTTTTCCCTGACCCAACTTGCTTTTGGCCTCTTCCTTTTCCCTTTCAACTCTGCCTTACAAACCCACTTAGCTGACTCTACCCCCTTGTCCTTGGCCAGGCCTCTCTGGACTCTTCGACACTGGCCTCCACCACGCAGGCTCAGCAGGGCCCGACGCCTCCGTCATGAACCTCATCTCAGCCCTGGAGTCCCGGGGCCCCCAGCCTGGCCCCTCTGCCTCCTCTCTCCTCTCCCAGTTCCGCAGTCCTTCCTGGCAAACAGGTAAGCCCAGCGTCGGCCCAGGAGGGCCAGGGTGGGGCTGGCATGTGGTCCGCCCTGACCTATGGTCTTCTCCATCGTCCCCAGCCATGCACACGCCAGGCCCCACGGAGCTCTTCATTTCAGGCGCCCTGCCGGGTTCCAGCACCTTTCCATCCTCCTCTGCCCTGTCGGCCTACCAGCACCCGGCTTCCTTCGGCAGCCGCCCCTTCCCAGTGCCCTCATCCCTCAGCCTCCAAGACCCCCCATTCAGCCCCCCAGCTAATGGGCTCCTGTCCCCTCATGACGTGTTGCACCTGAAGCCCTCACAGGCACCCACAGTGCCATCCTCGCTGGGCTTTGAGCGCCTGGCGGGGGGCGGTGTCCTGGGGCCCGCTGGTCTCGGCCCGGCCCAGACCCCTCCATACCGCCCCGGCCCCCCAGACCCCCCCCCCACCTCCCCGCCACCTCCCGACTCAGTTCAACCTGCTGGCTTCCTCTTCCGCCGCCGCCGCCGCCGCCGAGCAATCCTCCCCACAGCTGTACAACTTCTCGGGTGCTGCCCCGGGCCCCCCGCCACCCGAGCGGGCCCTGCCCCGCCAGGACACCGTCATCAAGCACTACCAGCGGCCAGCCAGTGCCCAGCCCCCGCCGCCCCCGCCACCAGCCCATGCCCTCCAGCACTACCTGAGCTGTGGAGGCAGCTATCCCTCCATGGGGCACAGGGCTAACCTGGCCTGCAGCCCCCTGGGTGGTGGGGAGCCCTCCCCCGGTGCTGGCGAGCCTAGCAAGGCCGGGCCCAGTGGATCCACGGCTGGGGCATCGGGCCGGGCTGCAGGCCCCGAGGCGGCTGGAGGAGGTGGGGCAGGGGGTGGCGGTGGAGGTTACCGCCCCATCATTCAGTCGCCTGGTTACAAGACAGGCAAAGGTGGCTATGGAGCAGCTGCGGGCAGTGCCACCAGGCCCCCACCACCCCGTTCAACGGCCACGCCCAAATGCCAGAGTCTGGGTGGGCCAGCAGCGGCCTATGCCACCGGGAAGGCCTCTGGGGCTGGTGGGGCAGGTGGCCAAGCCTATTCCCCTGGTCAGCCCCAAGGGCTTCTAGGACCCCAGGCCTATGGGCAAGGGTTTGGAGGGGGTCAAGCCCAGGACTTGAGCAAAGGCCCTAGCTACTCAGGGGGGCCCCCGCAGCCCCCCAGTGGTCCCCCGCCTCCTGGTCTAGCCACGTGTCAGAGCTACTCCCCGGATCAGCTGCAGGGGCAGCTGTATGGGGTTCAGGGCGAGCCATACCCAGGCCCAGCTGCCCACTCCCAGGGGCTACCCACGGCCAGCCCCTCGCTCAGCTACAGCACTGGCCATTCCCCAGCGCTCTCGGGTCACGGCGGTGGCTGGGGGCCCAGCTCCCTGGGGGGTGGCGGGGAGGCCAGCCCTTCTCACATCATCCGCCCACTGCAGTCACCGCCTGCCCCCGGCCGCCCGCCTGGAGTCGGCTCTCCAGGAGCCCCTGGCAAATACCTGAGTTCTGTCCTGGCCTCGGCCCCGTTCCTGGCGCCTCCAGGAGCCGGCAGCTACGCAGCCGGAGCAGGTGGCTACAAAGGCAAGGGGGATGGCTCGGAGCTGCTGGCTGGGCCTGGTGGGCCTCCTGCCGAGCGCACAGAAGATGAGGAATTCCTCATCCAGCATCTCCTGCAGGCACCTAGCCCCCCGCGGACCACAGGGGCAGATGGCTTGGTGGGTGAAGATGGGGCAGCGGATGCTTCCAAGGGACTTGGGGGTAGTGGTGGGGCCGGGGGTCCACCAGGCACACCCTACGAGCTGGCCAAGGAAGACCCCCAGAGGTATCATCTACAGAGCGTCATCCGTACCAGTGCCAGCCTCGATGAGGGCGCCACGGCAGCCCTGGAGCTGGGCCTGGGCAGGCTGAAGGAGAAGAAGAAAGGGCCAGAACGGGGCGGCGAGACCCCGGAGGGGCTGGCCACCTCAGTTGTCCACTATGGGGCAGGTGCCAAGGAGCTGGGGGCCTTCCTCCAAAAGAGCCCACCACCCCCACCTCCCACCGCTCAGCCTGCCCAGCCCACACCCCACGGCCTCCTCCTGGAGGCTGGGGGCCCTGACCTCCCACTGGTGCTGCCTCCACCTCCCCCCCCCCAACTGCTCCCCTCGGTCCTCAGCCATGCCCCCAGCCCCTCTCCCAGTGCCCCAAAAGTTGGCGTTCATCTCCTTGAGCCAGCCGCCCGTGATGGAGCACCCCAGCCGCCCCCGCCGCCGCCCCCGCCCCCGCCCCCCATGCCCCTCCAGCTTGAGGCCCACCTCCGCAGCCACGGCCTGGAGCCTGGTGCCCCCAGCCCCCGCCTTCGACCTGAGGAGAGTCTGGAGCCGCCAGGCGCCATGCAGGAATTGCTTGGGGCCCTGGAGCCACTGCCCCCGGGGCCTGGTGACACTGGCGTGGGCCCACCTAATACCGAGGGCAAGGATCCCTCCGGTGCCTACCGCAGCCCCAGCCCGCAAGGCCCCAAGGCCCCCCGCTTTGTGCCACTCACGTCCATCTGTTTTCCTGACTCCTTGCTCCAAGATGAGGAGCGCAGTTTCTTCCCCACCATGGAGGAGATGTTCGGTGGAGGGGCAGCGGATGACTATGGCAAGGCAGGGCCGCCCGAGGACGAGGGTGATCCCAAGGCGGGGACTGGGCCGCCTCCAGGCCCCCCTGCCTATGATCCCTATGGGCCCTACTGCCCGGGTCGGGCGTCTGGAGCCGGGCCTGAGACGCCGGGCCTGGGCCTGGACCCCAACAAACCGCCTGAGCTGCCCTCCACGGTCAATGCCGAGCCTCTGGGCCTGATCCAGAGTGGGCCCCACCAGGCGGCCCCACCCCCCGCACCCCCCCCCTCCACCGCCGCCGCCTGCCTCAGAGCCCAAGGGAGGCCTGACCTCGCCCATCTTCTGCTCTACCAAGCCAAAGAAGCTGCTCAAGACGTCCTCTTTCCACCTACTACGGCGCCGTGACCCACCCTTCCAGACGCCCAAGAAGCTGTATGCCCAGGAGTATGAGTTTGAGGCGGACGAGGACAAGGCCGATGTGCCCGCTGACATCCGCCTCAACCCTCGGCGCCTGCCTGACCTGGTGTCCAGCTGCCGCTCCCCGCCCGACCCTCTCACCCCTGGGTGACATCGACTTCTGTCCACCTAACCCAGGCCCCGATGGCCCCAGGCGCCGGGGCCGCAAGCCCACAAGGGCTAAGCGCGATGGCCCGCCCCGGCCCCGGGGTAGGCCCCGGATCCGCCCACTGGAGGTCCCCACCACTGCTGGGCCAGCCTCAGCCTCCACGCCCACTGAAGGGGCCAAGAAACCTCGGGGCCGGGGCCGTGGTCGGGGCAGGAGGGCCGAGGAGGCAGGGGGCACACGGCTGGAACCCCTAAAGCCACTTAAGGTGAGGGGGACTGGGATCGGGATGGCTAAGGTCTAGAGAAAGCCAAGGTTTTGGACTACAGTTCTGGGGCGGGATGGGGGCTGTGGTCTATGTTCTTGAACCTGAGTGTTGGCATTCTAGGCTTCCACCATCAGAGATATCTGAGAATTGAGACTTTGGGGGTCTAGAGGGAGGCCCAGGGTATTGGAGCTTGGGTTCTTGGGTTCTAGGTCTTAAAGGACCCGCAATTGGGGATTTCTCGATTCCTGGGTCTCGTGGGAGGAGGGTCTGGAGGCTGGATTCCCGGGCTGGAAGCAAAGAGGGATCAGTGAGTGCTGAGGGAGGAACTCCAGTCCTGTCATTCTGGAACCTGAGAGAAGGGATCTCTGGGCTTGAATTCTAGGGTTCTACAGGCTGAAAGTGAGAATTTGACCTAGGTCTTAAGGGAAGGTTGGGGGCCTGCTCCTCGGCCTCTGAGCTGGGAGGGGACTTGGGGCCCCAGACTCATGGACCCTGACTCCCCACTTCCCCGATATCTAGATCAAGCTGTCTGTGCCCAAGGCCGGCGAGGGTCTGGGAGCCTCCTCTGGCGATGCCATAGCCGGCGCTGACCACAACAGCCTGGACTCCAGCCTGACCCGGGAGAAGATTGAGGCCAAGATCAAGGAGGTAGAGGAGAAGCAGCCAGAGATGAAGTCCGGCTTCATGGCCTCCTTCCTGGACTTCCTCAAGTCGGGCAAGCGTCATCCGCCCCTCTACCAGGCCGGCCTGACGCCCCCACTCAGCCCCCCCAAGAGCGTGCCGTCCTCCGGGCCGGCCCGTGGCCTGCAGCCCCAGCCTCCTACCGCGCCCGCTGTGCCACACCCACCGCCCGCCGGCGCCTTTGGGCTAGGCGGTGCGCTGGAGGCGGCCGAGAGTGAGGGGCTAGGGCTGGGCTGCCCTTCGCCCTGTAAGCGGCTGGACGAGGAGCTGAAGCGCAACCTGGAGACGCTGCCCTCCTTCTCCTCGGACGAAGAAGACTCTGTGGCCAAGAACCGGGACCTGCAGGAGAGCATCTCCTCAGCCATCTCGGCGCTCGATGACCCACCTCTCGCTGGGCCTAAAGACACTTCCACCCCAGATGTGCCCTCCTTGACGACTGAGGCTGCGGTGCCAGGGCCCCCCCCTCTTCCGGGGCTCCCTAGTGCCAGCAGCAATGGCACACCCGGTGAGCTCTGGGAAGATGATTTGGGGCTGGGATGAGGCTTTCCCTGTTATTCAGGTCACTGGGTACGGTTGTGCAGGTCGTGCACTGTTTTAAGGGGCATCATTCACATTGTAGATGAAGTAGATTTGTGTGTTTACAAATTGAGGGCAAACAGGTGTTGTGAGAAAGGTATCATTTTCTAATCTGTCCACAGATGCTAAGTATGTTAAGATGCCCCAAGGTGGGTACTGGAGAATGCTGGGAGACAGAGCAGGTTATCAGTGATGGGGACAGGTGGGAGACAGGGTACTGAGAGAGCTTTGAAAACTGGCAGGGGTTTGGGGGCCCAAGAAGGAGCTAGGATTTAGAGATGTATGGCAAAAGACAGAAGGACGTCTGGGGGGGGGGGGATATAGGGAGAGACTGGAACATTGATTAATTGGGTCTTGCGGGGGGTGAGAGGGGAAAGGCTGGGGGTGCGGCAGGGTCTGGATGGTGTTCTGTCCTGAGAGAGGCTTTGGACAAATTTTAAGGTGCTTTGATGGGGGAATGGGGGCATTGATTTGGAGAAGGGCATTTGTGACAGTTAATGAGGGGGCTTGAGGGCTCAGAGGCATCCTAGGGAATGGAGGGGACTTCTAGGGGGTTGTAGGAAGGTGGGAAACAGGGAGCAAGGGAGCGAGAGGGTGTGAGGCTGAAGCAGAGCTGAGAAATGCTGGGGGCTTCTGAGCAGAGTATCAGGATTTGCTGAAATGGGAGCGAGAACCTTGGAAGGCTCAGGAAGGCTCATAGCTGAGGACGCAGCAACAGAGAAGAAGCAGTTTTAGGAATCAGGAGGAATTTTAAGGCGTTAGAGGGGGTCTCTAGAAAAACCCATGGGGAGTTAGTGGGAAGCGGAGGGCATGAATGATCCCGAGGGTAGAGAGCAGTCTGAGGAAAGGGCAGGGAAGATTTTGGATGGAGGAGGACAAGAACCCCCCCCCCCCCCCAAGCAGGAAATGAGTAGGTAGAGATGCAAAGGGAATGATTGGGGAATTGGGAAGGAAGGTAAAAAATGGGAGGTGAGAGCCAGCAAGGGCTTTGAGGCAACTAAGAGGTGTTACAGGACTAAAAGGGGCAACAGGATGAACATTCAGGGGCTCAGAATTACCGCTGGAGCTGGAAAGGGGTCTCAGGGAGGGACTTTGACAGAGCAGAAGGGCTTTGGGGGAGTTGAGCTGTTGGCATAGGAAGGGACATTCAGGGACAAGAGAAGAGGTGCTAGGGATGGTGAATGGCATTCAGGAACTAGGAGCCATGTCAGGGCAGGGCAAGGAGCTTTGTAGGGACCTGGGGCAAGAGGCAGCTGAAGGATGAGGAAGGGGTGGTGGTGGGACAAGGGACAACTGATTTTGATGGAAGGACATTGGGTAATGCTATTAGACCACAGTAAGGGACAGAAAGGGAGAGTATGTGGAAGCCAGGAAAAAGATGGGGAAGGACAGAGTGCCGTGTTTGGGTGGGAAGGCTTATTAGGACATTGGAGAAAGAAGTTAAGGGAACATGGGCTTCCTGTGGCTGGCTGGGGACAGAAGTGGTATGAAAAGTGGAGGGGAGGGCGGCCATGCCTGGCTGGCTCAGTCGGTGGAACATGCTGTTCTTGATCTGCGGGTTGTGGGTTCCAGTCCCATGTTGGGTGTAGAGATTACTTAAAAGCAAAATCTTAAAAAGAAGACAGAAAAAAATGTCCGGGAGGGGACAGAGGACAGATGAGCAGGGTCAGGGCAACAGCAGAAGAGTAAGAAGTGGAGATGAGTGGAATTTGGAGCAGAGATGGGTGTTGGGGTGTTAGGTGAAGGAGAACTCCGGTTGATCGGAAGGGGTATGGGGGTGCAGAGCAGGAAGAGGGCTGTGTCGGGACCCTGGGGAAGAGGAGCCTGAAAGGGCTGGGAGCAGACCTTGATCCACACTGACCGCAGACCTGAGGGACCCGCGTAATGGGGGGCAGCGGGGGCCTCCCCGCGCCAGAGTCCGCCCTGATGCCGCTCTCGCCCCCAGAGCCCCCGCTGCTGGAGGAGAAGCCCCCGCCCTCGCCGCCTCCCGCCCCGACGCCGCAGCCGCCGCCGCCGCCCCCCCCCGCCCCCCGCCGCCGGCCCTGCCCTCGCCGCCCCCGCTGGTGGCCCCGGTGCCCAGCTCGCCGCCCCCGCCGCCCCTGCCCTCGCCGCCGCCCCCGCCGGCCGCCGCCCCCGCCGCGCCCGAGGAGCCCGCCGCCCCGTCCCCCGAGGAGCCCGAGCCGCCCGACGCCCGGCCGCTGCACTTGGCCAAGAAGCAGGAGACGGCGGCCGTGTGCGGGGAGACGGACGAGGAGGCGGGCGAGAGCGGCGGGGAGGGCATCTTCCGGGAGCGCGACGAGTTCGTCATCCGCGCCGAGGACATCCCTTCTCTCAAGGTGAGTCCGCCGCGTCGGGTCTGAAAGCCGGGGCGGGGGGATTCGGCCCCAGGGCGGTGATGGAGCGCCTGCTGGAGGACGGGCCCGGCGATGGAGCGCCTGCTGGATGACGGGCCCGGGCGTCCTGAATTCCCAGGCTGATGGGGCAGGACCGTGCGGAGGCCGCGGCGGCCTCTGAGACGTGCGGTGTGTGTCCTGTAAACGAGAGAAAGGGGTTGTTAACGTTTGCTGCGGATACTCTGGGTGCTGGGCTTCTAGCAGGGAACAAGGCAGTGCTCGTCTCAGTGAAGCTTCTAACTGAATCGCACAAGCCAGGGGAGGCAGGCTGCTTTGCAGTGCATGGCATAATGGTGGAAACGTGAGGCGTTGACAAAATGTACCTATGAACACACACACGCATGTAATCTGTAAATGTAATAGCCGGCGATTGGGGACTGTCAGGCCACATCTTAAACTTTTTGCAGATCGGCCCATTCCCTACTTAAGTGACTCTACTGCAGGGGTTGGCAAACTGGTCTCTGTGGGGCGAATCCAGGCCCCTGCGTCTTTTTATAAATAAAGTTTTATTGGCACACAACCCATGCCCATGAATTTACAAATCCTCTAGGGCTGAGGTAGTTCAGGCAGAGCTTAGCTGACCCACCAAGCCAAAAAAAATCTTTCTTTTTTTTTTTTAATTTATTTGACAGAGAGACAGCGAGAGAGGGAGTGGGAGAGGGAGAAGCAGGCTTCCTGCTGAGCAGGGAACCTGATGCGGGGCTTGATCCCAGGACCCTGGGATCATGACCTGAGCCGAAGGCAGACGCTTAACAACTGAGCCACCCAGGCACCCCCTGCCCCCATCTTTCTTATCTGTTCCATTATGGAAAAAGTTTGCTGAGCTCTGCTGTACTGGGTTCATTGGATAGAGAGATTTGGATCAGAGGATTAATAGTTATAGGTGTGGGACAAGGGTAGGTGACATTAGATGCTCTTGTAAGGTTTGTCCCAGAACATGAGGCTGAGCAAGCGCTTGGTAGGTCAGCAAGCCATTGTCACCTTGATGGTGACACCAAAGACTAGGGCCTTTCTTCATATTAGTCACTTTCATGGACTGAGTATTGACTATGGGGGCCAAGAACATATTTGGCCCTTGATGTACATTATCGTGTTTGATTTATTCTCTGGTGGTGTTTCTTCAGACAGAGGTATTGTGGGATGAATTAATTATAAGGTTTAAACAACTATCGTTATGCTTTGCTGCTTCGTATGTTCTGTGAGGTGAAATGAGTGTGTCTTTTGCTGAATGATTTTTAATCCGTCTTATTGTGGAAGAAGCAGAGCAACTAGAATAATGGGACTGTATGTACCCATTACTCAGCTTCCACCATTGTCCCCTCCTGGCTAGTCCTGCGTCCTCTCTGCTCCGGCACATTCTGCCCCCTGCCCTACCCCACCAATTCCAGACATGTTCTGTCATCCATGCCTTGTCATTTTTTTAGCATGGTGGTTGCTTCATCCAAAAGAACATTGATAAAAGGTAATATTAGGGAATTACAAAGGAAAATGCTAGGGTGATTGCTCATGTTCCCAAACCCAACCAGCAATTGTAAAATTCCCTGGTCCCTCCTCCGGCATCCCTCGTGGTCTTTCTCACTTCCAAATGTCTTGTGTACATTATTTCATTTTTTTTGAAAAAATGTATTTTAGGGAGAGAGTGCACAGTGGGGAGGGGCAGATGGAGAGGGAGAGGAAGAAAGAGAACCTCAGGTAGACTCTGCGCTGTGCATGGAGCCCAACACCGTTGGGGCTTGATCAAGCACGGGCTTGATCTCACAACCCTGAGATCATGACCTGAGCCAAAACCAAGAGTCAGACGCTCAACCAACTGAGCCACCCAGGCGCCCCACATTATTTCATTTTAACTTCGTGACTTTTGAGGCTGATTTGATCCTCAGCTGGGACAGGCGAGGAAGCTATTGAATGAACAGCAATGATAGGAGCAACTACCAACTCCTCAGGATGGGATTTGGGACCTATCACAGTCAGAATTCAGAATTTAGCTTGATCTTTTTTTTCCTTTGTTTTTGTTTTTAATTTTAAGAGATTTTATTTATTGATTTGACAGAGAGAGCACAAAGCAGGGGAAGGGCAGAGGGAGAGGGAGAAGCAGGCTCCCCGCTGAGCAGGGAGTGCGAGGCGGGGCTCAATCCCGGGAACCTGGGATCATGACTGAGCTGAAGGCAGAAGCTTAACCACCCGAGCCACTCAGATGCCCCTTGTTCTTAATTTTTTTTAACGTAAATAAATTTTTTTTTAACTGAGCTTTATGCCCAACATGGGGTTAGAACTCACGACCCTTAGTCAAGAGTCACATGCCCTACTAACTAAGCCAGGCACTCCCCCTTTTTTTTACTTTAATTGTAGTAACCTTTACATACCATGAAGTGTATCATTCTAATCATTTTTAAAGGTACCGTTCGGTGGCATTGAGTATATTCACATTGTTGTGCAGTGTTCACTGCTGTCTCCCAAGTTTTCTCTTTATTTTTTTAAGATTTTTTAAATTTAATGGGACACCTGGGTGGCTCATTCGGTTAAGCGTCTGCCTTCAGCTCAGGTCATGATCCCAGGGTCCTGGGATCGAGTCCCGCATCGGGCTCCCTGCTCCGTGGGGAGCCTGCTTCTCCCTCTGCCTCTGCCTCTCTCTCTATATATCTCTCATGAATAAATTAAAAAAAAAATTTATTTGGGAGAGAGCACGAGCAGAGGGAGGGGCAGAGGGAGAGGGAGAAGCAGACTCTGCTGAGCAGGGAGCCTGACATGGGGCTCGATCCCAGAACCCCAGGATCATGACCTGAGCCGAAGGCAGACGCTTAACCGACTGAGCTCCCAAGGAGCCCCCAAGTTTTGTCTTTATAATCACCTCTCATGATAGGGATTACTCTTCCCATTTTACAGGGAAGGAAACTGAGGCACCAAGTACTAAAGCAGCCTTCCTAGACTTTGATGGCTCGGGACCCGCACCAGCTCTGTTGGCCCCAGGAGCCTGGGCTCTCAGCACCCGATTCAGCCTTTCCCTGTGTACATTCTATCAAACGTTGACAATGGCAGTGGCAGATGCAGGGGGGTGCCCAGCACTGGGCCGAAAGAACAGGGCTTTTACAGATGAGGAAGTTCACGTTCAGAGAGAGGGACTCATTCGGCTGGTGGGTGCCGAGCTGGGATTGGAGCCCTAGCCATCCGACACCACCTCCCAGGTGGCATGGGGCCGGGCAAGGACTCACATGCTTAAAATACAACACGAGTGTGCATTACAATGGGGGGACACACAGCCCCAGGACTGAACCACTCCTGCAGACATTGGAGACCCGTTGGTGTGCTTGGAGTCAGGGCAGGCTGGCGGCATCGTGGCTGAGAGCCCAGCTTTGGCCTTAACCTGACTGGTTCAAATCTCTGCCACTTCTGGGCTGGGCTGGGGTCGACCCTTCCTGACCATGAATTTCCTCATTTGCAAAATGGGGGTGATCCCGTTAGTACCTCCCTCAGGTAACGGGCGGATCCAGGCATTATAAAGCTCCACGGGACTGTGGGTCACACACAGTAGGTATCCCATACACTTCCCTTTGGTTACTCATCTCCGCAAAGCTTGGCAATTTTTTTTTCTGTGAAGGGCCAGCTAGTAAATTTTTTAGCCTTTACAGGGCACAGGGTCTCTGTTACATCTTCTTGTTTTGTTTTTGTGATCCTTTAAAAATTAGGAACCAGGGCGCCTGGGTGGCTTAGTCGTTAAGTGTCTGCCTTCGGCTCAGGTCAGGATCCCAGGGTGCTGGGATCGAGTCCCGCATCGGGCTCCTTGGTCAGTGGGAAGCCTGCTTCTCCCTCTCCCACTCCCCCTGCTTGTGTTTCCTCTCGCTGTGTCTCTCTCTCTCAAATAAATAAATAAAATCTTTAAAAAAATAAATAAATAAATAATAAAAATTAGGAACCATTCTTAGCTCATAGAGCTGTGAAAATGGGCAACAGGCCATAGTTTGCTTCAGAACAGCGGTAGTCCAATAGAAATATCATGAGCTGTATACATCATTTTAAGCTTTCTTGTATCCATGCTTAAAAAAAAAGTGAGGGGCGCCCAGCTGGCTCAGTCGGTAGAGCACGTGACTCTTGATCTCAGGGTCTTGAGGTCAAGCCCTACATTGGGCGGGGAGACTTCTTAAAAGAAAAAAAGAATAAAAATAAAGTTTAAAAATGGGTGAGATTAGCCACAGGAGTGTATTTTCTTTAACACAGCTTATTAAAAAAAATCATTTTAGCATGTAATCAACACAGAAAAAGCTAACGAGATGTTTTACATTTTTTGCATATCAAGCCTTTGGAATCCTGTGTATTATTTTATACTCGCGGAACATACTCAGGCCAGCCGAATTAGCACAAAGCTGGCCCCCTCTCTACTTCGGCTTCCCCATCTATAAAATGGGACTGATAACATTAACTCCCAGTTCTTGGAGATGTTGAAGATTTAGCAAGATGTAAACACTGAGCTTGTAAGAGTTTGTTGGGTGGAGAAAAGTAGGGGGAGGGCGGTCCAGGCGGGGGAGCAGGGTGCAAAGTTTGTGTCATGAGCAAAAACATGGCGCACTTGTGATGTGTTAGGGATTCAAGGGGTTGAGTGGCTGGATTGTGAGTGCTGAGCCTGGGAAGGTGAGCAGATGCCAGGTCATGCTGGGGTGAGCTCAATGGGTGCCTGCTTGAGAGTCCACTTTGGGTTTTCTGGAAGCGGGTAGGGCCCCTGGCTAGTAGGATGGTGGCTGGGGAGGTGTCTAGGCCTGATGGCAGTCTGTCTACCACCTTAGTCCTGTGACACTGATTCCCCTGTTAATGGACCATGAAGTTCTTTCTTTTTCTTTTAAGTAGGCTCCACACCCAGTGTGGAGCCCACTGTGGGTCTTGAACTCACAACCCTGAGATCAAGACCTCAGCTAAGATCAAGAGTCAGATGCTTAATGACCTAGCCACCCAGGCGCCCCAAAGCTTTCTTATTATCATCCTGTAGGTGTTTCTAGCTCATTCCCATCCTGCTGCTTACTGTCCTGGTCTCTGCTTCTCAAGAGTTCAGATTCCCAGAAGAGAATCTGATTGGTCCAGCTCAGCATTTGGGCGCAAGATAGGATTAGTGATTTGCGTGTAGATTCACTGCCTGGTCAGGTCTCCTCCAATCAGCTGTGGCTTCCATTGGGCAGGGGCGGGAGAAGTGGGTGTGGTCCATGATAGGATTCCTGGTTGGAGATCAGGCAAGGATGATGCCAGGGGTTGAGCCCCATGACGGCAGAGAGGAAGAGTGGTTTTGGGAAAGCCACCAAGTTCAGTTGGGGTGTGGTGAGCCAAGGGGCCTGCGTCCAGCTAGAGAATCAGCCAGCGCTTTCGAGGAGGCCGATTGGGTAGTGGAAGAGACAGAGGGGGTGGTCTTCCCTGGCTGGGAGGGATGCTCTGATGGCTTTCTCACAGGCTTCTGAGAACTAGAATGGGGAAGATCATGTTAACATTGAGAGGCAAAAGCACCCATTTGTGGGGGTGTGGTGGGTACTTGCATTTGCAAAAACCTGGAGAATCAGGAAGTCTGGGGTTCATCTGCTGAACTTGGAGGGATCTGGATGGCCTGCTCGGCAGGGACAGGAGAAGAGAAAGGAAACTGAAGCCAAATCTGGCTGTGCCAGATCGTGGAGCCTGCACTAGGGGCCCTGGAAGGTTTTGGAGCAGAGCAGGATGTGGTCCAATTCTTGGGCCTCTGACCTGGCTCCCCAAGGTCACCAGGACGGAGGCCTGGGAACCATATGCTAGCCTGGAGAAAAGGACTTGGGGCCAGGGCACCTGCATCCCTGTCTCATCCTGCCTCTTGTGACTTCAGCCAAGAGCCTTTTTAGACCTCATTCTCATGAGGTTATTGTAGTCCCTTCTTTGCACTCCCCTAGTTGATCTGAGGGACACACAAAATCATGGACATGCAAACCACTGACCCAAACTAAGAGTAGGCAGTGGATAGCTGGCACACAGACCCAAGTGTTACAGCTGCTGCCAGTGGCAGACATCATTAATTGATCTCAGCACTTCTGCTGAGCCTGGTTCTGCGCTATGACCAATCTAATTGGAATTGTCATCTGAATCCTATTTATCACTTGAGTGTGATTTCTTTGAATGTGAGGACTAACTTCCGTTCATCTGTGGGTTATCACAATACCCAGTGCACATTTTCTGCTGTATCTTTTTTTTGAGATTTTATTTATTAGAGAGCGAGAGAGCAAGAAAGAGAGCGGGGGAAGGAGCAGAGAGAGGGACAAGCAGTCTCCACACTGAGTGTGGAGCCCCATGTGGGGCTGGATCCCATGACCCTGAGATCATGACCTGAGCCAAAACCAAGAGTCAGACGCTCAATGGGTTGAGCCACCCAGGCGTCCCCGTCACACTTCCACGCTGTCCCGTGTCATTGCTCAGCCCCCTCACAGAAGACATTGCCCTTCCAGGACTTAGGTGTCGCCTCTTCCAGGAAGCATTCTTGGATTCAGTTTGCATTTGAGGTCCTTCTTTTAGGCTTCCACAGTGTCTGGGGGTCTGCCGTTAGCGTGTTTATTACTTGTGTTGTCATTTCTTTGGTGTCGTGTCTGGCTCTCCTGCTGCGCCCCTCGCTCTCCCCAGATTAGGCGCTGGGTCTGACCCACATCCTTCAGTTTGCATTATCCAGCCAGGGGGTCACACAAGTCTCGGGGTGGGGAGGTTGTCTGAGTGTTGGGGGAGTGGAGATGGGGGGGCCTTCTATCACCGTGTCTTACCCTGTTGTGGAGAGGGGGATGAATTAAGTGGTCTCAGGTGAGCTGTCACCTGTCTGTTCTTGGCACAAGCCACAGCCTCACCCTCTTTTGTTTATTTGCTTGTCTACTTTGTTGCTTGGCTGCTTCTGTAATGAGGACCCCACCAAAGGCCCTGTCAGTCTCGTTCACCACTGTCCCCCCCGCCAGCACAGCATCTGGAAAGTGGTGGGTGGGCGCTCAGGAGTTGGCATTACTTTAACTCAACCGGCTTTGTGCCGTAACATTGTAACAACTAAAACTTTGTAGCACAAGAAGGAACAGCTTGTTTGAGAGTCTTGGGTGAGCCTGGGGGTGGGGGAACGTGGCCAGCCTCGAGCCGCCTCCCCGGGGCTGAGAACGTCCTGGGGCCAAGAGGAATGTGCCAGCCAGGGTGCGGTGATACCTGTTGACGACAGTGCCTTTTCTCGAAGCGGGTATCGAGGGAGGATACGGGGCCCGGAATTGGGGGCAGGAAGGGCAGGAGCGAGGGCTGACTTTGCTGGCCTCACTGCACCCCTCCTCAGCTGGCATTGCAGACGGGGCGGGAGCCCCCACCCATCTGGCGAGTGCAGAAGGCCCTGCTGCAGAAATTCACTCCCGAGATCAAGGATGGGCAGCGACAGTTTTGTGCAACCAGTAATGTAAGCCTGCAGAGGGGAATGAGGAGTCGGGGAGGCCTGGCGGGGGGGTGTACTGGGATTCACCTGCCATCCAGGGGGTGTCCCAAAGGGAGGCTCCACCTCCAGGAGGCTTCTGTGGGGGGCCCCGGGGCAGGGGGGGGAGCCTCGGGTGTCGGGCTGCCTGGCTGCGGTAGATGAAGGATTTCCTCGTGTGCCTCTTTCCTTCCATAGTATTTGGGGTATTTTGGGGACGCGAAAAACCGGTATCAGCGCCTTTACGTAAAGTTCCTGGAAAACGTCAACAAGAAGGATTATGTGAGGGTCTGTGCTCGAAAACCCTGGCATCGGCCCCCAGTGCCTGTCAGGTACCCTGGGGACCAAGGGGCAGGCGGTGGGCGGGGTTGACGGGCACGGGGATGGAACGTTCAAGAGAAGAGGTAGAGGTGGGGAGAGTGGACACAGGGTGGGGGACAGAGACCCAGAGAGAGAGAAAGAGACCCAGGTCTGGGATGGGGGGAGACAGAGGCTCAGAAAAAACAAAGGTCAGGAGAGGAAGCTGGTTCTGTGCTCAGAGCTGTGGGCTTAGATGCGGATCTGCGGAGAATTTGGGTTTCTTCGGGGCTGCTGACTGCATATAGTCCCTTCCACATTCCCTTCCAGGCGCTCTGGGCAGGCCAAGGGCCCCGTGTCTGCTGGGGGCAGCTCTGCACCTCCTCCCAAGGCCCCGGCACCACCTCCTAAGCCCGAAACCCCTGATAAGACGATATGTGAGAAGCCCCCAGAGCAGACGCCTGAGACCCCTGTGCCTGAGCCCCCTGCTCCTGAGAAGCCATCCCCGCCTCGGCCCGTTGAGAAGGAGAAGGAGAAAGAGCGGGTGACACGTGGGGAGCGGCCGCTTCGGGGCGAGCGGAGCGCAGGTGGGCGGCAGACTCGGCCTGAGCGGAGCCTCACCACGGGACAGCCCGCCACCTCCCGGCTGCCTAAGGCCCGGCCCACCAAGGTGAAGGCCGAGCCGCCCCCCAAGAAGAGGAAGAAGTGGCTGAAGGAGGCGGCGGGCAATGCCTCGGCGGGCGGGGGTCCACCAGGCAGCTCCTCGGACTCAGAGTCATCCCCGGGAGCACCCAGCGAGGACGGTGAGGCCCTCGGCAGCCACGGGGCGGGTGGGGAGGCATGAGGAAGTGAATCCTGGGCATCAGGAGGAGGCATAGGCGAGCGCAGTCCACAGGGTCCCGGGTAGTGTCGGCGAGAGAGCAACGAGAATTCGTAAATTAAAATGATAGCGATATTTGTCAGTCACGTGGCGCCTGAGATGGCTGTCTTCTCTAAATTCTGTACCCAAATTAACTTGTGTGACATTCATAGCAGGCTACAAAGTAAATACCGTTATTTTTAAATTTCTTTTTAAAATTTTTTTGAAAGATTTTATTTATTTTGGGGGGGAGAGCACGAGCAGAGGGGAGGGGCAGAGAGAGAGGGAGAAGCCAACTCCCCACTGAGCACGGGCTTGATCTCACATCCTGAGATCATGACCCCAGCCGAAATCGAGAGTCGGATGCCCAACCAACTGAGCCACCCAGTGCCCCAGGGGTAGCCGTTTTAACAGAGACTAAGCGTGCAGGCACTCAGATGAGAGAGTGAGTTCTCTTTCCATCAAAGCCCAACGTAGGGGGCGCCTGGGTGGCTCAGTCGTTAAGTGTCTGCCTTCATTAAGCGTCTGCCTTTGGCTCAGGTGGTGATCCCAGGGTCCTGGGATCGAGCCCCGCATTGGGCTCCCTGCTCTGCGGGAAGCCTGCTTCTCCCTCTGCCACTCCCCCTGCTTGTGTTCCCTCTCTCGCTGTGTCTCTGTCAAATAAATAAATAAAATCTTTAAAAAAAAAAAAAAAAGCCCAATGTAGGTGGTGGTTTCTTAGAAAATAAGAGGCTCTTCTCAAGGTTGTCCAGGGTCTCTGTTTCCTTTCTTCTTGTTGCTGTGCCTTCCGCCTGCATGCTGTCCTCAAGCACGTGGTCAGAGGCCGCCCAGCAGCCCCAAAGCCGCAGGCCTGCCAGTGGGAAGGGACTCAGGGGCCAAGGAATGGCTGGACCTTCCTTTTAAATTGCCGGATTTGGGCGTGGCCCATATCCTGTCTCTCCTATCCCATTGGGCAGAACTCGGTCACATGGCCACACCTAGCTGCAAGGGAGCCTGGGAAATGTAGTCTTTTAACTGGGCAGGGTGATGTTATATCAGGCCAGGTGGAAGCTGCAGGTCATGAAGGTGCCACAAGGGGGGAGATTTAGCAAAGGCCCAGATTTGCAAGTCTTTCCTTCTCTGGCCCTTTTCCTTTCTCTTAAACGATTTACAAACTTAAGTTTAATTAACACACCATATAGTTCACCTACTTAAAAATATAAAATTCAGTGGTTTTTAGTGTAGTCCTAGAGTAGTTCATCCATCTTGGCAGTCAATTTTAGAACACTTTCAATACCCCAAAAGAACCCCTGTATCGATTGGTTATCACTCCCCTCTTCTGGACATTATACATAAGCGAATCATACAACACGTAGGCTTTTGTGATTGACATCTTTCACTTAGCATAACATTTGGGGTTTAGCCGCCTGGTAGGTGTATCAGAACCTCATTCCTTTTTGCGGCTGAATACTATCCCACTGCACGGATAGACCACGTTGTATGGATCCATGCACTAGTTGATGGACTTCTGGGTTGTTTCTACTCTTTAGCTGTTGTGAATAATGTCACTGTGGGCATGCATGGAGAGCTCTGAATTTCCTGAGCGCTGGAAATGGGGGGAACTGAACTCCACCCTCTTCTGGGAGCAGTTCCCCTGCCAAGGGCCAGTATGGGTCTGGGTCTGTCTCCCCTCAGCCCATTCAACCAGGAGTGAATGGGTGTAACTCATGCTATGAGTTGGGTGTGACTCATGCTAGCTGACCTTAAGGCTTCCCTCAGCCCAGGAACCCTCAGAACTAACCCTCTTCCTTGTCGGAGAGTGGTGACCCTCCGTGTGCCAAAAGCTGACGCTCTCTCCTTCCTTAAATTCGTAATAGAAGTTCTAGAAAGACACTGTGGTGACTGTCTTCTCTCTTCCTCTAGTCCACTTCCATTTGGCTTCCTGAGCCCCGTTCTGCACTTATTTATTGAGTACCTACTTCGTGCCACAAACGAGGTTCCAGCAGTGAACAGAATAAACAAAAATATGTATCCTCATGGGAGCTTACAGTCTAGCTGGGGGAGTCCATCAGATAAACACGTTATGTAACAGAACACAAAACAATGTGAAAAATGGTCAGTGTAAGGCTGGCCAGGCTTAAAGGCAGTTAAGAAAAGCACTTCCGGTACAGAGGCTCCAGGTGGTATAGAGGGGGGTGTTTTCAGGGGATGGGGGAGTTGGGGAAGGCTTCTGGAAATGACATTGGAACAGACACCCGAGTGCAACAGGGTTGGGGTTGGGTGACCGGGAGAGAGAACATTCCAGGCTGGGCGTGTCTGGGGATCAGGAAGGAGGCCAGTGGCTAGAGCGAGTGAGTAAGAGGAGAGGGTGAGAAGTGAGGGCAGAGAAGGAACAGGACCAGATCTTGGAGGGACAGGAGGTCTGGAGCTTTGTGGTCCCACTGGAAGGATTTTACCGTGAGCGAGACAAGAGCCATAGGAGGGTTTGGGCCAAGGCCTGGTGGGGTCTGACTGCCACTGCCAAGTGGTCACTCCGGTCCTTGAAACGGCTGTCACCAAGGACCCTCCACGTGGATAAGTCAAATGGATATTTCTCATGCCACTTCCTGAGGGATATTTTAGGGCCGTTCATGGCTGTCCTGCTTCTTTTTTCTCCCTGATGTTCCTTCTTGGGTTTCATGTGAGTGTCCCTCAAGTCCTGACCTTGGCCTTGTGGCTTCACCTCTCACTTGGCAGGCCCAGCTTCCCAGTAGTTTCTTCCCCCTGGCCCCCATCCAGGCTTCCCCCAAACCCCCTCCCTTCAGATCACACTGAGTTCCTTGTCCTAATTTCCATATCTCAGGGGCAGCCCCACTGGCTACTCAGTCAGCAGGCCAGATCTCCAGGCACACAAGCCTTTGCTCCCTCACCTCCAAAGCTGGGAAGTCCCCAGCTCTGGCCCTCCTATTCTCTTGCTCCTCCATTTCTGAATCCTGTCCCTATGGCCCTGCAACATCCTCATCCTTTCTTACGTGGTCCATTACCCTGGCCTCTGGTATCATCCCTCTGATCCATCCCCTACATGGCCTCAGAGGGGTCTTTCTACACTTAACCCCTGCCCCTCCCCTGCTCACACCTCTTCCATGTCTTCCTAGTACCCACCACAGGTTTGGGGACAACAGGTGGACGAGGCCCCTATCCTCTTCACCTCCCACCTCCTCCCACAGTCTTGCCCTTTGTGATCTGATCTCTCCGAGTGGCTTCACTGGTTTGGAAACCCAATTATGCTGCTGCTTTAGACTTCATTGAAGCTACACTGAACTAGTCAAACATGAAGCTCACTGGCCTGGAGTGCTTTTTTCCCCATCAGTCAAGATTTAGCTCTTGGGTGACCTTGAACCAGCCTTTCCTGGCTTGCCAGGCTGAACTCGTTATCATCAACGCCCGTGACGCCCACCCTTAGAGCATACTGGGCTGGGAGGCGTTGGTGTCCAGCGGACTCAGAGCTCCCAGAGAACAGGGATTTCTCTCCGGCCCTGGTACTTAGAACATTGTCTGCCACCCAGGCGGCCTCAGATGAAGTTGGAATCATGAGCTCGTGTCCCATTCTCCGCCCCGCCCCCCCCCCCCCCCCCAGAGCGGGCAGTCCCCGGGCGTCTGCTGAAGACCCGGGCGATGCGGGAGATGTACCGGAGCTACGTGGAGATGTTGGTGAGCACAGCACTCGACCCAGACATGATCCAGGCCCTGGAGGACACCCACGGTGAGCCGAGGCCTGGGGAAGGAGGTTCCCCGACTCCTCCTCTGAACCCCCCCCCCCCCGCAAGGTGGGGCTTCCGCTCCTCTGACGCCCCTTCCTGGTCTCGCAGATGAGCTGTACCTGCCGCCCATGCGGAAGATCGATGGCCTCCTCAATGAGCACAAGAAGAAAGTCTTGAAGCGGCTGTCGCTGAGCCCAGCCCTGCAGGTGCTTGTGGGCCTGGGCAGGAGGGGTCTGGGACCCAGCGGTCGGGCATGGGAGCGATGGGTACAAGTCCGCCACGGCCGTGCCCGCAGAGCATCGGGCCCTGGAGGGGGCAACCACTGGAAGGGTATGGCTTGGCCAGGAGCAGAGTTGAGGGCGGGGCTCCCGCAAGAGAGGGTCTCTGCAGACCTAGATGGCAGGGACTTGATGGATGTGGAGAGGTCGTCGCGAAGGTCAGGGCTGGGCAGCTGGGAAAGCCCAGCAGAGTTTATGGAGTGCAGGTTTGGCGACAACAGGTGGACGAGGCCTTGCTGGGGAACGGTGGTGAGCGGATTCTGATGGCTTCTCTGTCGTAAACACGGGCTTCTTAGCATCTCAGCCTTCACTATTAAGTCATCTGTATGATTGCCTGCCTGGAATAGCCAAGGTCTCGGGGATGGAATATTTGGGCAGCTCTGAAAATTCTGATGGGGATCGTTGTGTGGGGCTGAGAATTTGGGGGTAGAATGTTAGGGCAACAGAATTCTGGGATGGAATGTTAGTCTGGCGGTAAAATGGGCGGATATTGGTCTGGTTCAGAAAATTCTTGGTGGGATGTTAGTCTCTCAGACGATACGGTTCTAGCACTCTGGGTGGGATGTTAGGGTAACTGAGAATTCTGGGATTGAGAGTTAGTCTGGCTCTGAGAGATCTGGGTAGGATTTATGCCAGGGTTTAAATTTCCACAGTAGAATATTAGGATAAGTCTGGGAATTATGGGATGGAGTATTAGTCTGGTTTTAGCATTCTGGGCTGGAGTGTCAGCCTGGCACTGGGGATTCTGGATTTTAGGATACCTCAAAATTTTGAGTAGGATGTTAGGCTGGGGCTGAGAATCCCGAGTGGAATATTAGGGGTCTCTGAGAATCTTGGGTGGGCCACAAAGCACATTATAAGGGTCACCAGACAGGCCTAGACTCCTCTGTCCTTTGAGAGACCCAAGATTCCAGAATATCTCCTGATCTGCAGTGTGAGGGAAACTGAGGCATCTGACAACTCGGGGGTCTGAGAACTGAGTGGTGGGTTTGGAGAGTGTGGGTCCAGGGGGACGTCCCACTGACCGGTCGGCTTCCCGCAGGACGCCCTGCACACGTTCCCCCAGCTGCAAGTGGAGCAGAGCGGGGAGGGCTCCCCTGAGGAGGGGGCCGTGCGGCTGCGGCCGGCTGGGGAACCCTACAACCGCAAGACGCTCAGCAAACTCAAGAGGAGCGTGGTCCGAGCCCAGGTGGGGCCGGGGATGGGCGGGCGGTGTGGACGCCTGGGGAGAGGAGCTGCCCCGCACTGGGCAGTGGGGTGAGGCTTCTCCGCTCCATCTGTCCAGGAGTTCAAAGTTGAGCTGGACAAGTCGGGATACTACACACTCTACCACTCACTCCACCACTATAAGTACCATACCTTCCTGCGCTGCCGGGACCAGGTAAGCCCACCCGCGGCGCGTCTCGCCCTGGGCTTCTGCCCCACAGGCTCTGCTCTGGACCCCAGCCCGTCCTCCCTCAGACCCAGGAGTCCTGGTCCCCAGCCCCTCCTCCCTCAGACCCAGGGGTCTGGCTCTCCCAGCACCCCCTTTCCCTGGAATATTGATCCCTAGACCTCCAGGCCCTGGTGGCCACCCACCCCAGCTCCCTGTTTAACACCCTGCAGACCCTGGCCATCGAGGGCGGTGCTGAGGACCTGGGTCAGGAGGAGGTGGTCCAGCAGTGCATGAGGAACCAGCCGTGGCTGGAACAGCTCTTCGACTCCTTCAGCGACCTGCTGGCCCAAGCACAGGCCCACAGCCGCTGCGGGTGACCCCGCCCAGCCTGGGGGAGCCACCTCTTCCATGAACAGAGAATTGGGACAGAACTGTGTCCTCAGGAGCTAATCCCCTGGGCCCTGTCGCCAGGGAAGGGGGGGGTCATTGGTCAGGGTGTGTCCATGCTGCCCCCACAGGGCAGGGTTCAAAGTTCGACTCCTCCCCTCTCCCACGCCCCCTCCACTCCCTCCCCAGCCCTCCCACTGTCCGGTGTACAGAGAAATTATTTATATATATGTATAAATGTCTATTTAGTAACGGTTTCCCTCCCCACCTTGCCCCAATCCTCTCTCCACGGCCACAGCCCCGCCCCCTCCACCTTGTACATAATGTATAGGAAAAGTCTATGTATGGTTGAGGGGGGCGGGGTGGCTTCAGAGAGCTGGGGGACCCCCTCCCCCCCAACCCCCCCTCACAGGCCAAGATCTTTGCTAAAGGCCATTCCCTCCCCAGGGCATTCGGCATCGGGTGGGAGGGGGAAAACGCATCTTGTTAATTATTTTTAATCTTATTTATTGTACATACCTGGGGCGGGGGGCTGGGGAGGTGGAGGGGGGAGAAGGGTCCCCTCCCTTTGGCCCTCCCGTTCCTTTTCTACTGCGATTGTCTGTGTCTGCCCCCCCCCCCCCACCGCCCCATCCCCTTGTCTTCTGGATGTGGTTCTATTTTTTATCTGTCTCCTCTCCCCTCCCCACCCCCCCACCCAGCTCCTCTGCTCCTCCCTCCCTCCCACCCTTTGTCTCTTGCTCTTTCTTGGGCTTCTGTACAACTCAACTTGTATACACTGTGTACACACAACCAGCCAAACGAAAACCCAACAGCAAACACTTTATCGGCCGGCTGGAGTGCCTCTGTCCTGCGGCGGGTGGGGGGCCCCAGGGGTGGCAGAGGCGGAGAGGGTCTGGAACGGGAACTTGGCTTCTCTGGAGCCCCTGGAAGCGGCCGGGCTGGGTCGTCGTATGCGTTACGTCTCACTGTGTAAAATTAGCCGCTCCCCCTCCCCGGCCCCAAAATTTAGTGACTTAAAACAAATGTTTACCCTCTGGTTTCTGAGGATGAGGAACTGGGGAGCAGGTCAGCTGGGTGGTCCTGTCCCAGGGTCTGTTGTGAGGGTCCAGTCAAGTCAGCCAGAGCAGCAGCCCTCCAGGGATTGATGGGCTGTAGGACCTACTTTCAAGGTGGCTCTCTTTTATTTATTTTTTTTAAGATTTTATTTATTTGAGAGAGAGCACGAGAGAGAGGGGAGTGAGGGGCGGAAGGAGAAGCAGACTCCGCGCTGAGCAGGGAGCCCCACGCAGGGCTTGATCCCAGAACCCTGGGATCATGACCTGAGCCAAAGGCAGACGCTTAACCGACTGAGCCACCCAGGCGCCCCAAGGTGGCTCACTTTTAAGGTGTGCAGATTGGCTGCGGGCTGGAGGCCTCAGTTCCTTGCCATGTGGACCTTGCCATGGGGTACCTTGAGTGTCTGCACACCATGGCAGCCGGCTACCCCCAGAGCAGGGGATCCCAGGGAGAGAGCAAGGAAGAAGACTTGCAGTTTTCTGTCCTAACACACCATTGCCTCCTACATACTGTTCATGGGAAGAGAGTCCTTGCACCCAGTACCTACTCAAAGGGGGATTCAGCTCTGTTTCAAGGAGGGAAAAGCACAGGAATTTTTCGGTGTTTTTTTTTTTTTTTTTAAGATTTTATTTATTTGCGAGAGAGAGAACGAGAGACAGAGAGCATGAGAGGGAGTGAGAGGGAGGAGGGTCAGAGGGAGGAGAAGCAGACTCCCCACCGAGCAGGGAGCCCGATGCGGGATTCGATCCCGGGACTCCAGGATCATGACCTGAGCCGAAGGCAGTTGCTTAACCAGCTGTGCCAGGTGTCAGGAGTTGACCAGCTTTTTCTTGGCTGCCTAATGTGGACTCGAGGGTGGATCTCTTGTGTTCTTGAACCCTGGAACTACCAAGGTCACGAGCAGACGGCAGTTGAGATGTGGATAGATTGCTGTGTTCTCGAGACTTGCTGCTTAAAGCGTGATCTGCTGCCCTTGGGAGTCTGTCTGTTTCCCGCCCCCCCCCCCCACACAAGAGCTTGTAGAAATGTAGACTCCAGGCCTGAGTCTCAGATCTGCTGAGTCAGAACCCACTTTTTAGTAAGATCCTGGGAGGATTCTAATACACACTCAAGTTTGAGGAGCAGCGTTCTAAAATAAGACTTAACAATTTGGAGGTCAACTGGAACCCAGCGTGTAAGAAGTGAGTAAGCCGTTGTCACTCGAGAGCCCGAACCCTTATCAAGAATGGACTATTGGTATTCTAGAACCCTGGCTTCAGCACTGATGGTAGTTGGTCAGTAGGTACTAACCCGGTGTGAGATTTAAGGGTAGACCATCCGCATTCTAGATAGATTCCCTTCCTGGTGAAATTGAGGAAGAGCCCCTGTTGTTCTATAACCTTGGATATTGTCTAGACCATCACCAATGTGAACGACTCCAGAATCCTGGTTTTACAGTAACATTTAAGGATCTTAATAGGAGAGTCAGTGATGGACCATGGGCTTTCTAGAATCAATGGAGTTCGGAGGGGTGAGGATGGACCTTGGTGTCCTCGTACCATGGCCTGTGGCACATTGGGGTGCAGCCTCTGAGAGGCGGTGGCACGTTTAAGTCTCTGGGCTGGTATGTCCAGTTGGAGCCAAAGGTTCCACGATCAGCGTTGCCTCAGATAGGAGCTCTGCTAGGGAAAGTGGGTGGATTGTTCAGAAGGTGGGCTGCAGGGCAGCATCCTCCCTTTGGGGGCAGGATAACCTTGTGGTTGGATTTTGGAAGTCAACTGCCCAAATTTGGATTTCCGCTCCAGCACTTAACCAGGTGAGTTGGATACCAGCCCGAATCCTCAGCTTTGTTGTTGGTAAAAATGGGCTTTTGTCGAGATGAAGGAAAACTGAATGTCTGAAGCACTTAGCACCCGTTCCCCATAACAGGAGGCTCCAAGAGGATTGTTGGAGGTCCAAGAGATGGCAGAAGGGGGAGAGGGTGGCAAGGATGTTTTAAGAGGGACATCAGAACCCCGAGAGACTTTGAATCGTCGGCAGGGCCCGCCAGAGCCTCGGGGAGGACAGGAACCAGAGAGGCGCATACATACCTAGGGAGATGCCAAGGAGGCCACGCCAGCCTCTTCACTGTTGCCTAATGAGCTGGGGATAGGTGGTGCTAGCAAACCACCCAAAAATGGCCTGCCAGTTGTCGTGTGGGTTTGTATGTGTGCTTTTTTCTGTGGGTAAGCGGTAGCTTTTGTCACCTCTGCAAAGCACATCATTGTCCTTAAAGAAGAAGGGTGTCCTAGGCAAGAACTTGGTGCTGATAGACAATGCAAAAAAGACTAAGGCTTGCTAGGGCTGTGATGATGGGGACCCAGGGAGGGAGAAATCGGCATAGGTCTCCACAGACGCCCAAGAGTGCCTCACCTCCGGCTGGGGTTAGGTAGAGAGGTCAGACCTGGTCTGGAAAGTGATAGAACCTGCCCCCCACCCCCTTCCCTCCTCGCCTGGCAGGGCTTGGGTCCCCGGTGAGCTGAGGTCCTGGGGCTAGAGGGAGTGAACCTGCAACACAATACTTGGGGCCATGCTTATTCCCAGGGCGGAAGGTTGAACACAGGCCAAGGATTCTGTGATAATGAAACCCGGAAAGGGATATTTAGCTAATCATTGTTCTAACCTGGAATACAGAGGGACATTCATGGTTCTGGGGCAGGAGAACAGTAGGGCCCCCGTCACTGATAGAGAGCACTTAGTATACTCCAAATGCTGTTTGCCTTCTGGGTGCAGATTGGTTCCTAAAGGCCTCTGGGAAGTAGCGCTGTGATCACCCCCATTCTACAGCTGGGAAGACAGAGGCACTTGCCCAACAGCTCTTGAGTGAAGGCGGCAGAGCGGCTGCCAGGGGCCATCATCTACCCTTGAACCAGGAGTGGGTTTTGGGGTGGGTGGGAGGGGAGCCGTTTGGGACCGGGGGCCCTGAGGTTCTGTCCAAACGTAGCAGACACGGGGGTAGGAGGAGTAGATCATTGATTGGTGACAGTTACAGGTGGAGATCAAAGTTCCAAGGCACGGGGACTGAGGCTGAGGTTTCTGGCCTGCTGTGTTGACTAGGTGTTGGGGTTCAGGGATGCCTGCCAGGCTTGGGAGATGGACGAGGGGTGGTCTCCCAGTCTGGCGCCAGCATTCCGGGTTAGCAAGTACGCTGCAGAACTGGTCCTGGGTGGACTATGGGGGTAATCCAAGCGTTCCCAGACAAGCCAGTTAGCAACTATTTGGGGGTGGCCTTAAGAAGACCCACACGTCAGCCCTTCCCAGGAGAGAGGCTCAGGTGGAATGTGTCTACACTGGCCCCAAGTTGGATTAAGACTTTGCACTCAGCTGTCAGCGCAATTGGGAACTTTCTGGAAATGAGAACTTGCCAGCCAGCCGCTTGGACACCATTCCGCCCACCTTGTCCCTTCACTCTCCTGTAGCCAACAGGTCTTTCTCAATATATATTGGAGGTGGGAAGGGGGCAAGCAGGGGTTTTAGCAGGGGCCTGTTTCCAAGATCCTGGGAGCCTTCTGGAACACCACTATCCAATAAATTTAAATGGCCACATGTAGCTTCTGGCTACCTTACTGCAGTTCTAGAACTTTACAGCAAAGAAAAAAAATTTAGATGTCAAACCCCATCCCAACAAAATGCCCACCCAAACACAAAAGGGCAGAATGCCCCCCACCCTTGAAGGCGAAGCAGGGGTCCAGACACCTGGCTTGGCTCATTCTCTGGCACAGCCCACCCCCTCCTCCCCACCAAGCAAAGAGTTCTAGATCCGATGGTGGCAGGTGGAGTGAGGCTGTGTGTGCCCTGAGTTCATCCACCGCCCCGGAGCCCTTTTCCCTTTTCAAGAAGCACTTTCTGACATTGGCAGTGATGTTTATTTCCCTGGGGGTGGAGAGGGGATTATATACAGCAGTGACCCGGATGCCCGGGAGCCCCTCACCCCAATAAGGGGCTTGGGTGGGGAAGGGAGGCATTGGCAGAAGGCACACAGTGGTGATGTCCTGGAGGAGGCCAGGAATTCCGGATGGGGGTGTAGTGTATCCTGGGAAACCCAGATGGGAAAACAGGGTCGGTGAGCGCTGCTGGTCCCCAGAGCTCATGCTGGTTGCTCCTCTCGCACCCCCCTGGGCTACAGGAGGACGCAGGGACAGCCTCCGTCTTTCTTCCTGGGGGCACTGGGTGGGCTGGGCGGGAGCTCTTGTTCCTGATACTTCCTGTGGGAAGAAGCTGGTGAGTTTGGGTCTCGGCCTGGGGACAAGGACAACGAGAAGGGCGCTCTGCTCACCGGACGGCCCGCACCAGCTGCTCGAAGGCCTCGTCCACGTTGAGACGCAACTTGGCTGAGGCCTCGAAGTAGGCCACGTGGTGGGAGGCACCAAAGGCAGAGGCTTCAGATCGGGGCACCTGGGAGGGGGACAGCGGGAGGAGTCAGGTGTCTGTACTCAGGGTGGGGCCTAACCATGGCAGGCAGAAAGACACACTATGCTCTAATGGGGGTGACCTAGTGTGGGGGTCAAGTGAAGAGGAAAAGTTCTAAGGAGATCATGGGGAACATGCCAAGAGGGCTTGGCTCCATTAAGTAAGGAGTCAGGGAAGGCTCTGCAGACGTTTGCCCTTCTGAACATCAGATGACTGAGTTCCTCCCGCAGAGAAATCAGGGTATTCCCTGCAAAGGCCTGAGCAAAGCTCAGAGGGCTGGAAACCCCCAAAGGCTTAATCGGAAAGTTGAGTTCTGTATGGAAATCACAGACACTCTGTGTATAGGAAGTGGTGAGAGCAGAGAAAGGAAGGGACAAGACATGGTGGGAATTAAGTGTCAAGTGCAGGAGCTGGAGTTCTCGGGGAGGGGGGGGCGCGGGGAGCCAAGGGAGGGCTGTGAGCAGGGAAGGGACAGGGGCAGTGGGGGGCCCGAGTGGGAGGTTGACTGGAGGTGGGGATGGAGCAGGGTTGGGGCTTGTCGACCTGGGGATGGGCGCAGGTGCCCTCGGTCCCCTCCAGCCATCTTTTCTGGGAAGTCTTACATGCAGAAGATCCAATTTGGGGGCAACACATTTAGATGTGTGTGACAACGGAGGGCGCGGGACCAGGGGAGCCAGAGGAGGGTGCTGATGTGAGGAGATGCACTGAAAGGAGCCTCCCAGGCTGAGATGGGGGGACGGGGGGTGGGGAGAGTGTCCCAGACCTGGCGCTGTGTCTCCAGATCTGCCTTGTTCCCAACCAACACGATGGGGAAATCGTCTCGGTCCTTGACTCGGAGGATCTGCGTGAAAAGCTTGCCCACCTCGTTGAAACTGCAGATGAAGCCAGAGGCCTGAGGTCTAGCCAGCAGCTCGGCCCCGGTCCGCCCTGCTCGGCCACCCTCGGCTCCTCTCACCTCTGCCGGTCGTTAATGGCAAACACCAGCAGGAAACCGTGGCCAGCGCGCATGTACTGCTCCCGCATGGCACCGAACTCCTCCTGGCCTGCTGTGTCCAGGACTGCAGACGGGGAGAGGGGCCGCTGTGGGGATGAGGCTCCCTGCCCCCCAGCCGCTCCTGGGAGCCCTCAGCCCCACCACCATCCCCCCCATCCACTCCCTGCCGCCCTCACTGTCCAGCCGGGCTGGAACACCATCCACCGTGCAGATCTTCGTATAGGAGTCTTCAATGGTGGGGTCGTAGTCAGACACAAAGTAGGACTGGTGGGACAGGGAGAAGACACTGTTACCACGGTTCCTGCAGTGCCCCAGGAGAGGTGATGTAGCCCTGCCCCTGGGCTCTGCCTCCCCCACTTCTTTCTGGGTCCCTGCTCCCCTCTCTGCGGATCTCCGTCCCTTCCTCCCACCCTACCTAGTCTCCTTTCTCCGAGTCTCTCCTGGTCCTCTCTCTTTCTGGTATCAAGTACATCCCCCACATGGTGATTACGTCCTGGCTGTGCGGCATTCAACAAATCACTTCCCCTCTCTGAACCTCAATTTCCTCATTTGGAAAATAAGGATAAAAATAGGACTACACTTAATCCAGCGTTTGTGAGATTCGGGGGAAATCCCTGTTAAGCATTTAACGTATAGCTTGGATATAGTAGGTGCTCAGTTATTGGGACTATTATGGTATCTGAATAGCTGCCTGTTTATATCTCTCCCTCCTCCTCCTCTTCCCTCCTTTTTTCTCCTTCTTCTTCCTCCTCCTCCCTCTCCCCCTCCTTCTCCGGCAGCTTCTAGTGTCTCCTCCCAGGGGAAGGTCCCAGTTCCAATCCAGCAGCAGAGAAGCTGCCCCGCCCGCAGGCTGGGCCCCTCCCTTCCTGCCTGGGTCAGGCTAGCCTCCAGCCAGGCCTTTGGCCAGCTTTGGGTCTGTCCCTGGGTGCAAGGGGCCCAGGGCCGGGGCCTTTTTCTTTATAGGCAGGGGTTCCCATGCAGGCACTGACTGAGGTCTCTTGGGGGGTCTGGGGCCCAGGGCCCTCTGCAGTAGCATCTCAGAAGCAGACACCTTTCTAAGGTTTCTCTAAGGTGGGAGGGTTTCCCTTGGGAATGGGCTGGAGGTTTCCTGGGCAGGGGTGGATTTTCAGGGGAGAAGGGGTGATCTGGTAGCTGGGGGTCTGAGAGCTGCATCCCATCTGTTAGGGGAGAGGTGCTTGGTGAGGGCTTGTCCTGGAGGGAGGGTGCAGGGACCGCGCCATGGGGGGATTACGGGCGTGTCTTCAGAACACAGCTGGAGAATTATGGGGTGAGAGCTGGGGAGAGCCCCAAGGAGCACATTTGGGAGGTTTATCATAGAATATAGGTACGTGTCTAGAGAGTCTCAGACACCCTGAGATGCATTTATAGGGTCAGAGAAACTCCTAAAGAGTGGGTCTCTCTGGGGGTGTCAAGAATCTGGGGGCTTCTTCATGGAGGTGATCTGGGGGCTAGCCGAGGTTTCTGAGAGGTGCTCAAGGAGTTAGAGTGGAAGAAAACTCAACATGGAGGAGTGGGTGATTTTCCCTGGGGGACGGTGGAGGTCTGGGTCTGGTGGGATGGGGGATCCCCAGGACAGGACATGTGGTCTTAAGAATTCTCTGGAATGGCCAAAAGGCAGGATCTTTCTGAAATCTCTTGCGTCTGAGGGTGCCTCTCTCAGGACCAGATGGTACTGGATGGGCCCCAGGCAAAGTCTGGGCACAATTTCTAGATTCTGGGGGAGGTAAGTATCTAGACGAGGGTAATCTCCCAGTTAGGTTTTGGGTGGTTCAGAGGGGAATCTGGGATCTGGGGAGATGGGGCTCAGGGTAGGGGGAAGTGACACCTGGGGGTGGGGGCCTATGAGAATGCTTAGGGTCTAAATGGGGTGACTTCTGGATTTAGGGTGCTCCCAGGAGGTGCTCAGGGTCAAGTCAGCAGGGAAGCGGGGTATTGGGTACTGGGAGGAGGGATGGTGGGTCTCGGATGCGAGTATAGGTCCCTTGTGTAGGGGGTGGAGGCACTGGAGGGGGGGCTCAGGGTCACAATCTGAGAGGATTTTTTAAGATCAGAAGGTCTCATAGGAGGGTCTCAGTGATGGATCGAGGGGGAAATCGGGGTCTCAGGGATCTCCCGAAGGGCTCAGTTCTAGGTCCCGGGGGCACCCCCCCCGGGGTGAGGGCCCACTACCTGGATGAACTGGATGGTCAGCGCGCTCTTGCCCACGCCGCCGCCGCCCACGACCACCAGCTTGTGTGTCTCGCTGGGTGGGGGGTCCCCGGGCCCCGGCCCCCCGCCCCGGGGCCGCCCCCGCCCTGTCCCGGACGCCGCCCCGCTGCTCATGTCGCCACCGCTGCCGCCGCTACCGCCTTGGGGGGAGCCGGGCGGGGCCTAGGGGCGGGCCCCGCTAATAAGACTACTGCATAATCATGAGCTCGGGAGAGAAGGACGGGAGTCTCGGGACACTTAGGAGGCAAGGCCAGGGAAAAGGAGGAGCTATGCTAATAAGGGAAGGGGACAAGCTTTCGTTGTGAAGGGGAATTCCGAAAGGGGCGGGAATATGCTAATATCAGGACTATGCTCACCCCGAGCTGCGCCACGCGCTCTCGGCTGGCGGGCCGTCCGTGGGCGGGGCTATGCTAATAAGAGCTCTCGCTCTTTCGGCAGACGGGTCCGGAAAATCGTTCGGGGAGGTGCTATGCAAATGAGGATCCCCGAGACACCGCTTCTCAGGGCACCATCCCTGAGGCCTCGTTTTAGTAGGCGGGGCTCATCGGCTCGCGCGCGGCCGTATATAGGCGCGCTCGGAGGAAGGAGCCGGTTTTGAGGGGAAGCTCCACCTCCGTCCTGGGATCCTAGCCAAACTTCCGACCCGGGCGTCTAGGCTGGGAGCTGGAGTCTCCGCCCGCTAAGGGACCCAGGCTTCCGGTTCCCGGAGTCCCAGCCAAGCGGAAGACAGACTGGGAGGGGAGATGGGGCCCTGGAGGGGGACAGCGGGGTAACGGGACAGGGAGGGGCCGTGAGATCACTGCATTCCTAATCCCTGAGCCAGCTCCCCCAAACCGGGGTGGCTGGGTCATCACTGAAGGGCCTAGGGCCAGGATTTCTGAATCTTGAAGGAGGAGGAAGCTGAGGGCCCAGACTCCGGGGTCTCTCGGAGAGAATGAGACTGGAGGCCTGGATTCCAGGGAATCAGGGAGTCTTTACTACTAGGTTCCGTAAAGGAGGGAGCTGGGGGCCTGGACTCTTGAGTCCAGGGGTTGGTGGGGCCGGGGATTCAGAAATCTGGATCTGAGGGAATTCGGATTGGGAACCCGAACACTTGTGTCTGTGTGAAATACGGGCTTGAGACCAGGAATGGAAGGATGGGGGAAGAATGGGCATGAGGGCCCGACTCCTGCTTGTGAGGAAGGAGGGGTCGAACTCCCAAGTTCCAGGGAGGAGGAAAAAGGGAGTCCGGACTCCTGCTGAGAGGAAATCGAATTTGGATTTTTCCATCCTAAATGAGGAGGAGGTTGTAGGGTCGGGCTCGTTGGTTCTAAATTTAGAGGGGACTTAGGAGACCGGGATATTCTGGGATCCCCAGAAGCTGGGCGGCGCAACCCCCAGTCAGTCCAGCTTTTTTTCTACCGCCCACTTTTCGGAACTACAATTCCCTTGCAGCGGCCCTGTTCAGTGCTCTCGCGTCACTTCCGGTTCCGCAGCTCTCTCCGCGCGCGCGCAGGGCGCCGTGGGGCCTTGTCGCGGGCTACCGCAACCCCGCCCCCTTCACCTCTCACCTCCATGCTGTCCCCGCGCGACGGAGGCGACGCGCGGACTACGCCTCCCGGCGTCCGTCGCTCGCGCCCCTTCCTGTGAGCCCCCATTGACTTCTGGGAAACTGAGTCCAGAGACTTCCCACGAGCCTTCACGGCACCGTGCTCGGTACTTGAAGTCCCGGCAAGCTCGGCGGCGTTTTAGCTCCGCCCCTCTCCTCCCTCTGCTCGCGAGCCCCCCCAGCCCGCCCCGCCCCGCGCCGGGGCCGGAGCCGCAGCCCGAGCGGCGGGGTAAGATGGCGGCGGCAGTCTGGGCCGCGGGGCTCGGGCCTATCGGGGTGGGCGGGGCGGAGTCGGGTCGCTAGTTGTCCCGGGGTCCTCCCCACACGCCGCGGGGCCTTGGAGGACTTAGCGGGGCGGGCTCTGGCCCGGCAGCGGCGGCGGAACCTGGTGCCGAGCGGGGGGCCTTCTCAAGGCCCCGGGACGCGTCTGTGGGTTCCGGGGGACATCTACGGGGCGTCCCCGTGAGGACTGGGGACGTCCACCGGGCTGGACCGGGCCTGGAGCCTGCTCTCCATCACTTAGCTGGCCTGGGTCATTTCTGTAGGCACTGTTGATCGTCTTTATGGGCTGACCCGAGGTTAGGGTCTGTTTATAGGGTTCTGGGGCCATCTTGAGATCTTGAGATATGTCCCAGGGTGAAGGAGGTCTGCAAGAGCTGAGGAGTATCTGCAGAGCCATCTATAGCACCCGGGGTATGTCTCTTAGGGCTGGGAGTGTCTACATGGGCTGACTTGATGCGGCTCACCTACATGGGTCTGGGGCCATTTAGCGGGCCTGGAAGAACTGTTCGAGGGCTAGGAAGTCTTTTAGGGCCACCTAGAGGGGTGGGATATGCCCACCAAGGGAGGGAGGCAAATACTGAGGTGTGCTGTGAGGCCTGGATGGGTCTCTAACGTCTGAAGAGTGTCTAATCTGGGTGACAGGAGGCAGGGGGCAGTTAGAAGGACCTGGAACCATCTAGGTGGCTTTCAGTGTGACTGCAAGAGTGCAGTCTTTATGCCTAGAGCAAATTCGAATCCCTTTTGGGGCTGGATAATCGCGTGGAGAACAAGACAAAGGAGAGTATTGGAAAATTTGCCCAGCTCAAATGTACTTGCACTTTATAATGGAATTCAAATGAAAAAATGTTTTTAAATTCTGCATTGCCCTGGAGCTATAGAGATTAGAATTAGTCCACATTAGTGTGGGGAAGTCTGTAGGATCATCTAGACTCATTTAGTGTAAAGCTTTTCAAATTCTTTTGACCTTGATCTACAGTAAGAAGTACATTTTTTATTGAGACCCATTGCATACTGACATATGTATTTAATGCCAAAGTCCCATTAATTAATATTTCCACTTACTATTTGTGATGCACTGTGAAGAATTTTCTACTGCGTTCAATTTATTTTTTTTTTAATAACAAGCTATTTGTGAACCACTATACTGCTATCAGACTGTGGTTTGGGAAACACTGATCTAGAGAGACCTAGCAATGTCGGCAGAATGTCTTTTCATGTTGAAAAGATCTAAGGAGACATGGGTGTGTCTGCAAAGCCCAGGGCATGTCTAAGTGGGCAAGGGAGCATCTTCATACACCGCAGAGGGCTTGGAGGTCTGTGTGTCTGTACTCAGCAGATCTTGATTAGGCTTCTGTTACGTGACAGTCACTGTTGAGCGTAGCATGTGCTTCCCCCAGAGGTGCTGGAGAGCAGGCCCAGGCCTGGGAACTGTCCATAGGGGTTAATAGGCAGGACATATTAGTGGAAGTTAGGGAAGGAGCCACAGGCTCATGGCTGGGTTCTTTGGCGTAGCTTGGAAATCTGTGGCAGGAGAGAGACCAGGACCAGGGTGTTTGCTTTGCAGGTATGCAGCTGGGAGAGTGGCCGAGATAAACCTGAAGGCTAATGATGCTAATTATTGTTACTTTGTATTGAGTGCTTGGACTGTGCTGATTCTGTGGCAGAAGTCAGTCCGCTTTCAATTCTCACAGCCCTTGGAGGTAGATATTCCTATTGTGCCCCTTTCCAGATAAGCACAACGAGTCAGGGGTGGGGGTGAGGGCTTACAGGTCTCAAAGCTTTCTGGGAACTCTGAGACTGGATATTGTTTTCAAAGTAGCAGACTTGATGGTTACAGGGAAACCTGCAGCTGAAATAGTCATGCTTTCAGAAACCCTAACCCAGGCACCCACCAGTGTGAAAGATAATCTCTCTACTTTAGTATAATCTAAGAATTTCTGTGAGGTCATGAAAGCTTGAGCCGTGCTTTCATCCAATGGACAGATAGGCCATAGGTGGATGCCCTCTGTGGGGTGGGGTGGACAGCATGCCTTTCTGAAAGCAGTGTTTTCAGTTCAGTACTGGTTTTGTACATCGCTCTATTGTAGTTCCATCTTTTGCATATAAATACAGTTTTTTGGTTCCAAGCCATCGAGGAGAATTGATGCTGTAGGCAGTTGTGTGGTATTTGAGGTACACCCAGCCCACGGGCACATATCTCAGTTTGGGAAAGGAGGGTTTACGAGACTATGGGGCACGGTATTTGAAATCACAACTCAACCAAAAATAAAAATCTTGGCGTTGGGTTGGCTCTTAGGAGGGTGAGCAGTAAGGTCTTAAAGCTTGGCCGTGGGGGAACCCGTGGGCACCTGGGAGTGCCATGTTGAAACGGGAGGCTGGGAAGGCCTACAAAGGAGGCAGCTGAGGTCCAGGCAAGGGAAGAGAGCCGACTCTGGTCCCTCTGATGGCTGCACTGGGCCTGAGGCTCAAGGCCTGGAGTGTGGTGGTAGAGGGAGGGATGCCAGAGGGGATGCTGATCAAAGCAATGTTGGCGGCCCTTGAGGTCTTTGCATCCATTTCCTGCTTCCCTCCCCTGCCCCGGCCTCCACTCCAAACTCACCCCCTCAACTGCCAGGTGACCATGGAGGAAGAAGATGAGTCTCGAGGGAAGACAGAGGAGTCGGGCGAGGATCGGGGCGATGGTCCACCGGACAGAGACCCCACGCTTTCTCCTTCTGCCTTTATCCTGGTAAGGCTGCTAGACACCTGGGGCCAAGGGAAGGATGGGCTGCAAGTTCAGATTTCAGGGCCCGATTCCTGGGCCCTGGGGGGGAGGAGGGGCTGGGAGCCTGGACTCTTGGCTCCTCTGAAGGGTTTGAGTTTGGTTGTAGGGGTGTCTGGAATGGCTGTCTCCCAGGAGCAGAGCTTGTGACCATTTGCAGGAGTCCCCTGACTGCCCTTTCTTTCCACCCCCTTCACCCTTCACCTTTTCTCTAGCGGGCCATTCAGCAGGCTGTGGGAAGTTCCCTGCAGGGGGATCTGCCAAATGATAAAGGTATGATGGGTTCTGGTTCTTCTTAGCCTCCTATCCCATCTCTGTGTTCTTTATCCTAATTTCATTCATAACCGCTTTCCTGAGGCCTCCTGCGTACCACCCTCGTGCTGGCACAGGGAGCCAAAGATGGGTCAGACCCCACGGCTGCCTCGGAGGGGCTCCCAGTCTGGTGGAAGGGAGACCCCTTCAGAGCGCAGAGGTAGCCCGAGGCACCGTGAGAGGGCAGGAGGCCCACTTAAGGGAGTGTGTTGGGGGGTTGGGGTCTGGGAAGGCTTCCTAGAGGGTGAGACAGGTGAACTGGTCTCTGAGGATGTGTTAGGGTCGTCCGGTAAAGAGGAAAGCCTGGCAGGCAGAGGCAGCCCGCAGGCGCACAGCACCGGGCACCTTGCGGGACTGAGCCGTGGTTCTTTGGGGCTGGTGGGCATGGGGCTGTGAGCAGGAGGCAAGGCAGGAGCGCTCCATGGGGACTGGGTCACAGCAAGGTTCTAATGCCACACTGACTTGTGTGGACATCATCCTGAGGGCAGCTAGGAGGACAGGGGTGAGAGTGTTGGCACCTCAGAATGGTGTTGGGGATGTCCTTCTGGGACCCAAGTTGGGGGCTGGTGGATGGAGGCAGGGTGAACAGGCAGGCACTTGGTTCCCTTGTCAAGAGCTAGGGCAGGCTCCTTTTTCCTCTGCCCCACAGAGTCTCTGTCTAGTCCCCCGTTTCCAACCCCCCGTGCAAATCTCTCTCCAGATGGCTCCCGGTGTCATGGCCTTCGATGGAGGCGCTGCCGGAGCCCACGGTCAGAGCCCCGTTCCCAGGAGTCAGGGGGGACTGACACGGCTACTGTGAGTAAGAACATGGGGCTGGGGGCCCAGACTCTGGGGGTTGGGGGAGCTAGGTCAGTGGAGTCTGGATCCTGGGGTTGGGTTTGGGGACCCAGATCAGCAGCAGTAGTGGAAGGGCTGGGGGCATCATCTGTGGGGGTGAGCCTTGGGTCCCTGAGGCAAGTCAGGATGAGGGAATTGGTAGGATCCCTGCATTTTCTTGGGGTTTCAGATGTTTGGGTTCCTGAGAGTTTAGGGGCTGGGGAAATGGGATTTGTGGGTCCTTACATGAGCAGGGACAGGTTGGGGCCCCTCCTGGCCTATTCCAGGTGTTGGACATGGCCGCAGACAGCTTCCTCACGGGGCTGGTGAGTGTTCTGGATCCCCCAGATACCTGGGTTCCCAGCCACCTGGACCTGCGGCCTGGCGAGTGAGTAGTTGGGCAGCTGGAGTGGGAGAGGCCTTTGGTGTGGGAGCTGGAAGCTTCCCTCAGGCTCACTCACCCCCTTCTGCCCTGCAGAAGCGAGGACATGCTGGAGCTGGTGGCCGAGGTCCGAATCGGGGACAGGGATCCGATTCCTCTGCCCGTGCCTAGCCTGCTGCCCCGTCTCAGGGCCTGGAGGACAGGCAAAACGGGTATGTGGGGCCAGGGCGCAGCTGAGCAGGCGGCCTCAGAGTTGTGCGGGAGTCAGCTGTTGTTGGTAGTAATAGTAGCGATTGTGTCATTTAGACAAAACCTTTAAGCCTTTGCCTGTTAGACCAAAATAAAGGCTGTGCTTACGGACAGACACACGTAAAGCAAACACTGACGTAATCGCCAGCACGTGCGAGGCACTCAGCGTCCCGGGCTCCACGTGGCACTGGAACTGCAGTGGGAATTCAGCTCCCTGCAAGCGGGGGGCTCTTAGCTCTGAGTATCTGATTCAGGGAGTCTGAGGTGTGGGGCCTGGGAATTCGCGTGTCTAACCAGTTCGTCGGTGATGCCCCTGCTGCTGGCCCCTGGAACCCTGGTGGGAGCCCCAGGTTTAGACTTCGCTTCCGTCCAAACGTCCACAGTTGGGAGGGATGGCGAGGAGCGGAAGGCTCAGGGAGCTCAGGTGTAGCACAGGGGCAGCCAGGAGTACTGTTCTGCAGTGACTGTGGCTCTCCCACGCCTGGCCAGTTTATGTTTCCCTTCACCTTTTTTCACAGCCGTGGGTTGACTTGGCCATTTGGCTCAGGGAACGTTGTACCTGGGGCCCACCACACTCTTGGGGGCCCGCAAGAATATCTTCACTTCTTTTCAAATTAGAAGCCATAGAGGATAAGTGAACAAAGGGGCACGGTAGTGCCCTAATAAAACTTTATTGACAAAAACAGATGGCCTTGGGGATTTGGCCCCAGGCCTTCAGTGATACAGATGTATCTGGAACCTAAGAGCTGTCTTGCCGGGGGGATGCTGGGGTTATGTTTTATTTTCTTATCACAGATGCTTTTCTTCCTCCATTTGGAAACTATTAAGAACTTAGGGGATAAAAACTCATCCGTAATCCTACGTCATATAAAAATTATATAAAGTCGTGGCTGTCTTGCAGTTCCAGGCTGCTCCAGCCTGTGGACTGTTTTCTACATCTGGTGGTGCTAATAATTCATAAGCAGGGTAGCAAGAGCTCATGCTCACTGAGTCCTCGTGGTGCCGGGTGCAGTCTAGTTCGTTCCACAGAACTGCTCATCTCGTCCCCTCGTCCTCGTGAGGTGTGAACACTATCATCACCATCCTTCTCTGCTTTCTTTTCTTTCTTCCTTTCTTAGATTTATTTATTTATTTTGGAGGGGTGGGGAGGGGCAGAGGGAGAGAGAGAATCTCAAGCAGGCTCCCTGCTGACCATGGAGCCCAGCGCAGGGCTCGATCTCATGACCCTGAGATCATGACCTGAGCCAAAATCAAGAGTCGGAGGCTTAACCGACTGCACCACCCAGGCGCCCCCTCCTGCTTTATCTTCTTCCTCAGCCCTCAGCAGCTGGCGGGCTTTCTGTGTGGCTCATTGAGATTTCTCTCCCTGCTCGATGGGAGCTCCTTGAAGGCAGGGACTTTGTCTCTTGTGTTCACTGTTCTATTCCTAGTACCCCAAACCGTACTTGGCACAAGACAGGTGATCAGTAAAAATGTCCTGAATGAATGTGTGAACCCCCATTGTAGAGATGAGGAAACCAAGGCAGGCAGCAGTTGAGGTCCTTGTCCTTGGGCACGTCATGGGTGAGGGCTCAGAGCCTGGGATTGGGTTGAGAGGCGGCTCTGGGACTGCTCTCTTCAGCCCCGGCTGTCCTGGCCCTGTCCACCTGACCATGCTGGCGTCCTGGCCGTCGCAGGGTCCCTATAGTATGTGGTTGAGAGGGGGACCTCGGCACCCATGTGTGTGTCAGGCGGTGCAGCCCTGGTCGGTTGTCTCCGTGGGTGGGATTTACGGCGCTGAGACCATGTCCTCGGAAAGCCCGGTCTCGGGAGGGCAGAGGAGGTAGCGCAGGAAAGCACGATGCCTGGCCGGTAGGAGGGTGGCGGACCCTGGTCGTTCCTGTCGCCTGTCAGTGGTGTCTCTGAGTCCTGAGCAGATGCAGCCCCTCGGATGGGGCTTGTCACAGAGTGATGTACGTTGGGTGAGGACGCTGGCAGTCAGGGCTCCCCAGCTCTGCCACTTCCTGGCTCTCAAGAGGGAGTTGTCACCTTTGCAGCTACTCGTGATGCCCTCCGTAAAACGATAAGTTTCCACCAGAGGCAGCCGGAGCGGCGGGCCAGAGCTCGGCCTTGCAGGCGGTCTTGGGTTCAAATCCCGGCCGCCCCACTCTGGCCCGTGGCTTCTGCGGTAACACCAGTCAGGGGGTTCTTGGGCTGCAGGCCAGTGGACGTCTCAGGGTACGGGAGCACAGGCTCGGTTGACTGAGTTTGCGCCCCAACGTCTCCCCGCTGTGGGCCCTTTGGGAAGATCCTGCAGCTCCCTGAGCCTCAGTGTCCTCCGGTAAGGACGTGGTACCTGCAGCGGGGGGCTGTGGGAACATGCTGTGAGTCGAGCCAGAGTGAAGTGCTGAGAGCCGTGCCTGCTGGCGCAGCGAGGGCCACCGGAGGGGGACAGTGGCTGGGGTGGCGTCCTGCCTGCAGGCCCCTGTGCAGGACAGCAGGAGGAGGGTCCGCACCTGACCACGGTTCTCCGTCTCCACCGTTCCTTTGCAGTTTCTCCACAGCCCCACTCTTCTCGACCCTCCTGTGCCCGCCACCTCCTCACCTTGGGCACCGGAGACGGGGGCCCCGCCCCGCCCCCTGCCCCCTCCTCTGCGTCCTCCTCCCCCTCCCCTTCTCCTTCATCCTCCTCCCCTTCCCCTCCCCCACCTCCCCCACCCCCAGCACCCCCGGCCCCACCTGCGCCCCGATTCGACATCTATGACCCCTTCCACCCCACCGATGAGGCCTACTCCCCACCGCCTGCTCCGGAGCAGAAGTACGACCCCTTCGAGCCCACTGGCTCCAACCCCAGCTCATCAGCGGGGACCCCCTCGCCTGAGGAAGAAGAGGAGGAGGAGGAAGAGGAGGAGGAAGAGGAAGAAGAGGAAGAGGAGGAGGAGGAAGGCTTGTCTCAGAGCATCAGTCGCATCTCGGAGACCCTGGCGGGCATCTATGATGACAACAGCCTGAGCCAGGACTTCCCAGGTGACGAGAGCCCCCGCCCGGACCCCCAGCCCCCACAGCCAACGCCAGCCCCTGGAACGCCGCCCCAGGTGGACTCCACCCGGGTGGACGGAGCCACCCGCCGGCGTGTCTTCGTGGTGGGGACCGAGGCGGAGGCCTGTCGGGAAGGCAAGGTCTCGGTGGAGGTGGTGACAGCCGGTGGAGCCGCCATCCCGCCAACCCTGCTGCCACCAGGCGACTCAGAGATTGAGGAGGGCGAGATCGTCCAGCCCGAGGAGGAGCCCAGGGTGGCGGTGTCCCTCTTTCGGGCCGGCGGTAGCCGGGCGGCCCGCCCCCCTCCTGCCGTCGCGGCGCCCCCCGCGGCCCAGCCCCCGCCCCCACCGCCCGCTCCCCGGGCCCCCGAGGGGGACGACTTCCTGTCTCTGCACGCCGAGTCAGACGGCGAGGGCGCCCTGCAGGTGGACCTAGGCGAGCCGGCCCCGGCCCCGCCGGCCGCCGACACGCGCTGGGGCGGCCTGGACCTGCGCCGCAAGATCCTGACCCAGCGGCGGGAGCGCTACCGCCAGCGCTCGCCCTCCCCGGCCGCCGCCGCCGCCGCCGCCGCTGCCGCCGCCCCCGCGGGCCCCCCCACCCGCAAGAAGTCGAGGCGGGAGCGCAAGCGGAGCGGCGGCGAGGCCAAGGAGGCCGCCTCGTCCTCGTCGGGCGCGCCGCCGGCCCCACCGGCCCCGGCCTCCCCCTGGGACTCCAAGAAGCACCGCTCCCGGGACCGCAAGCCCGGCTCGCACGCCTCGGCGTCCGCCCGCCGCCGCTCGCGGTCCCGCTCGGCACGCCGCCGCTCGCGCAGCGCCGACCGCCGCCGCGGGGGCAGCCGCAGGTCCCGGTCCCGGGAGAAGCGGCGGCGGCGGCGGCGCTCGGCCTCCCCGCCCCCGGCCACCTCCTCCTCGTCGTCCTCCAGGCGCGAGCGGCACCGCGGCAAGCACCGAGATGGCGGCGGCAGCAAGAAGAAGAAGAAGCGGTCGCGGTCCCGGGGCGAGAAGCGCTCTGGAGACAGCGAGAAGGCCCCGCTGCCCACCCAGCCGCCCTCCGGCTCCAGCTCCTTGGGGGGAGAGCGCGACAGCCGCCGCCGGGGGGCTGTGCCACCTTCCATCCAGGACCTCACGGACCACGATCTCTTCGCCATCAAGCGGACCATCACCGTGGGCCGGCCTGACAAGTCCGACCCCCGAGGCCCCTCACCGGCCCCGGCCTCGTCGCCCAAGCGCGAGGTCCTGTACGACTCAGAGGGACTGAGCGCCGAGGAGCGGGGTGGCAAGAGCAGCGAGAAGGACCGACGCCGCTCGGGGGCTGCTTCCTCCTCCTCTTCCTCCCGGGAAAAGGGATCACGGCGGAAGGCGCTGGATGGGGGGGATCGGGATCGGGACCGGGACAGGGACAGGGACAGGTCGTCCAAGAAGGCTCGGCCTCCCAAGGAGTCAGCGCCCTCCTCGGGGCCCCCGCCAAAGCCACCGGTCAGCAGTGGCTCGGGCTCGTCCTCCTCCTCGTGCTCCTCTTCCTCCCGGAAGGTGAAGCTGCAGTCCAAGGTGGCGGTGCTGATCCGTGAAGGCGTCAGCAGTACCACGCCAGCCAAGGAGGCGGCGTCGGCCGGCCTGGGCTCCATCGGGGTCAAGTTCAGCCGCGACCGGGAGAGCCGCTCCCCCTTCCTCAAGCCCGATGAGCGGGCCCCTGCAGAAGTGGCCAAAGCAGCTCCGGGCAGCACCAAGCCCAAAAAGACCAAGGTCAAGGCCAAGGCTGGGGCCAAGAAAGCCAAGGGGACCAAGGGAAAGACCAAGCCATCCAAGACCAGGAAGAAGATCCGTGGCGGGGGCAGCGGTGGGGGCAGCGGCGGCCCTGTGACGCTGAAGAAGTCCAAGGCGGACAGCTGCAGCCAGGCAGCGGGGGCCAAGGGGGTGGAGGAGACTTCCTGGTCCGGGGAGGAGCGGGCAGCCAAGGCCCCCAGCACCCCGCCCCCTAAGGCAGCCCCTCCGCCCCCCGCGCTCACGCCGGACTCGCAGACCGTGGATAGCAGCTGCAAGACGCCCGAGGTCTCCTTCCTTCCCGAAGAGGCCACCGAGGAGGCTGGGGTCCGAGGTGGGGCGGAGGAGGAGGAGGAGGAGGAGGAAGAGGAGGAGGAGGAGGAGGAGGAGGAGGAGCAGCAGCCTGCCACCACCACAGCCACCAGCACGGCTGCAGCCGCCCCAAGCACTGCCCCTAGCGCGGGGTCCACAGCCGGTGACTCGGGGGCAGAAGACGGGCCGGCCACCCGTGCCTCCCAGCTGCCCACGCTGCCCCCGCCCATGCCCTGGAACCTGCCTGCTGGTGTGGACTGCACCACCAGCGGCGTCCTGGCCTGTGAGTGTGCCCTGGGGCCGGAGGGGGGCAGGCTGGGGCAGAGACAGGATTGCGAGGATGAGGTCGCAGGGGGACAGACTTGGAGGCAGCGGAGATGCCTTGGGAGGGGTCGTCGGTATGTAGTGTCCCAGGCTGTGAGGGGCTTGGGTGGGTGAGGGCTGGATCAGGGTCTGTCCAGAAGGCTTGTTGGTGTCTGGGTGTGTTGGGAGAGGGCAGGTAGATGAGTGCGGGGGCGGCTAGCCCAGCACAGACTGGAGGGGTAGGCCGTGTCCTGGGGGCCGCCTGGAGGCGGACTAGGATAAGCGAGGTGGTAGAGGGACCAGAAAGAAGAGGGTGAGGGGGGAGCAGTGTCCGCTGGGGGATGGCAGTAGGCCACAGGGGGCTTGAGACAGAATCTCCTCTCTGCCACCACCTTGTCCCTGAGTGACCCGGCCATATTGCCCCCTGACCACACACAAACCTTAAGTCCTAAGAACGGGGCGGGGGCTTGCAGAGTGGTTCTCTCGGTGGCTGAGGCCTCCTTTTCCCAGCTCTGAGCCCAAGACCCATGGCCTCTCTAGGGGCCCAGGGTGGGAGATGGCAGCAGGTGGCCAGGTGACGCTCACCAGCCCCTCTCGTGTCAACTCCTGATCTCCTTTTCCTCAACTGTCCGCCTCTTGCAGTGACTGCACTTCTCTTCAAGATGGAAGAAGCCAATCTGGCGAGCCGAGCAAAGGCCCAGGAGCTGATCCAGGCCACCAACCAGGTGGGCTTCCCGGGGGAAGAGTCCCCACAGTCCCTTCTCTTGTCACCTGACTCTGGTTAGGGGAGGAACTGCAATTCCCAGCAGGCCTTGGGACAAGGAAGGGATTGGCCAGAAGAGGAGCCTCTGGCGCCTGGGGCTATTGGGAAACCGGGGCGGGAATAATGGAGGTGCGCGGTCCCCCTTCCCCTCCCCCTCCCTTTGTTCATCCTCTCTCCAACCTCTTCCCACAGATCCTCAGCCACCGAAAGCCACCCTCTACTCTGGGGGTGACACCAACTCCTGTGCCCACGTCTCTGGGTCTGCCCCCTGGCCCCTCCAGCTACCTGCTCCCTGGCAGCCTCCCCCTGGGGGGCTGTGGCTCAACCCCTCCCACCCCCACTGGGCTGGCTGCAGCGTCCGACAAGCGAGAGGGCAGCAGCAGCTCCGAGGGACGTGGGGACACAGACAAGGTGCGCTGGGCTTGGGGGAGGTGGGTGGCTGGTGGCGGCTTTGCAGAGAACGGGAACAGATGCTGAGACGCAGGGGCCCAAGGAAGACGGGAGACTGATGCCAACAGGCGGGAACTTAGAGCAAAGCAAAGTCATTAAATTGTAAGGAACTCAACTTTCCCTCAAACGGATGAGCAACTTTCCCTCAAACGGATGAGCGGGAGATGGGTGCTGGGCAGATTTTTTTTTTTTTTTAAATTACGTGCAGATAGAGAGGGGGAGAGGTAGGAAACACGACGACGTAGACACACCCACGTGCCGACACGCATCCGTGCGACTGTGTGCTTCGTGGTTACCCCTGTCCCTCCTCCCGTCTTTCTGGGTAGGAGGGAGGGTGGCTTCCGAAAGGAAGATCCGGCATCTGTTGGACGGCAGGAGGGAGGGTGGTTGCCGGGCAGACTGGGACAGGTTTTCCTTCAGCGGCATCTGGCTCCTGCCCGTGGGCCTCAGGGCGATTTTCCTTTCGGTCACGTCCGGATGTTTTCCTGTCCTGGTGCAACAGCCCGTTGCCCGGAAGGTGGCATTGCCCACCTCTTACTTGGTGTACATTTTGTGCGGGCCGTGGACGTGTGGTTCCTGGTCCAGGGCCACCAGGGAGGGCCCAGGGTCCAGCCTAGCGGATGCTCAAGTGACATTCAGAGGCCCAGCCTGGCCTGTGGTCTGGGGTGGCCGCGGCAAGGGGAGTGCAGGGCAGAGGCTGAGCTGGCAGGCAGGGGAGGGGAGGCCGGGGCCTCTGCGGCACCTCATCTGGCCCTTGCTGTCCCTTTTTCCCGCCCTGTTGCCACCTGTGCCAGTATTTGAAGAAGCTGCACACACAGGAGCGGGCGGTGGAGGAGGTAAAACTGGCCATCAAGCCGTACTATCAGAAGAAGGACATCACCAAGGAGGAGTACAAGGACATCCTGAGGAAGGCTGTCCACAAGGTGGGGCCCGGCGGGGGACAGGTACACAGAGGTGGGGAGAACATGAGGAGAGACGGACACGCGCAGGCCGATGTCACACAGACGGGGAGCCAGGAGTGGCGGGTCTGTCTGGAAGGCGAGGAGGGTGACAGGATTTGCTCAAGCCCGCCGGGGCCTGTCCTGCTGGCATCAGGGGTACAAGTAGGGGTGTAGGCCTGGAATTGGGGGGGAGCAGCTCCCATCCTAGTTGCAAGCTGTGCTCAGCAGTCCAGGTGGAGGGGACCCTGGGGGTGACCGCAGCTGCCCCTCACTCCCTAGATCTGCCACAGCAAAAGCGGGGAGATCAACCCAGTGAAGGTGAGCAACTTGGTGCGGGCCTACGTCCAACGCTACCGCTACTTTCGCAAGCACGGCCGCAAGCCAGGCGACCCCCCAGGGCCCCCACGACCGCCCAAGGAGCCCGGGCCCCCTGACAAGGGTGGCCCAGGCCTGCCCTTGCCCCCTCTCTGAGACCCTCAGCCACCCCTTCCCTTCTTCGCCTCTTTGGAATTCTGGACGTATTTATGGCTCCACCTCCCCACTTCCCTCCCCCCATCAGTGGGATGATTGGGGGAGGGTTGCTGCAGGGAAGAGGAGAGCCCCCTGCCCTGCCGCGCCCTGTGCCCCGTGCCCCCAAGCCTGTCCCCATTGCCCCTCCCTTCTGTTTGTGCCCCTCCCCCAGTTTCATTAAAGATTTCATGAAATGTTAGCCCTCAGCGCCATGATTTTAGCCCTTTCTTTTCAGAGACCGGTTTGGCAAAGGGTTGAGAAGAGATACACGGGCGGTCTGGCCCAAGTCTGAGGGTGGCTAGCAGGCTGTGACTCGGGGCAAGTGCATTTGCCTCTCTGGGCCTCAGTTTCCTGATCTTTGAAGTGGGTGTTGGAGGGATGAAGACCCAGGCAAGTGAAGCACGTAGAAGCATACCTGGTACATAGTCAGCCGCTGCTCTTGACAGAAAGTGGTGGTGGGTGGGGTGTTGGGGTCCCAGGTCCCACCTGCTCAGGGTCTTCTAAGCTCAGGGTACCTGGGTGCTATGGGTCTGCCCTGGAATTGCCCCAGCAACACGATCTTTGTCTCCCATTGAGTTGGATTCTTTTTTTTTTTAAGATTTTATTTATTTGATAGAGACACAGCGAGAGAGGGAACACAAACGGGGAGTGGGAGAGGGAGAAGCAGGCTTCCCGCGGAGCAGGGAGCCCGATGCGGGGCTCGATCCCAGGACCCTGGGATCCTGACCTGAGCCGAAGGCAGATGCTTAATGACTGAGCCACCCAGGCACCCCTGGATTCTCTTTTTACCAGTGCTATGAGGCTGGGGTGATCTTATCCACTCCCCTGGGGTAGAGAGGGAAACTGAGGCACAGAGCAGCAGGGGCCACACAGTGAGTCAGGGCCACACTGGCCTCCATCAGGCCCCATTACCCCGAACCCAGACCTAGTGAGGAGAGGTGGTAACACCGGGGTCGCTGAGGTGGGTGGGCTTTAAGGCTGGGGCACAGAGCTCTTCTACAACTGCCTGTTCCAGCCTCGTGCAGAGGGGGGCCCATGGCCTGGGAAGCAGGACTTGCCTGAGGTCGCCCAGCAGGAGCTGGGAGGGGACCTAAGCCCCCCTCCCCCACCTGACAGGACGATCCAGGTGAAAGGCTCTTTGCCTACTGGACAGTGGCCTGAACTGTCCATAGACAAGCCAGGGGTTCTAGATTCTGCCCCACGGCCTCCCTTGAAGAGCAGCAACCCTGGAGTCAGACTGGATTCTAACCCATCTTGTGTTTCCTGCTTTGTGACCTTTGCTCTTCTCCTAGTGTCAGTTTCTGGGTCTGTAAAATGGGGGTGACTGTCCCCTCCTCACCAGGTCCCTGGGAAGAGGTAAGGAGGTGACACGTATCAGCTGCCCCCTGCACAGTGTCTGGTCGTCATGCAGTGAGCATCTGGGCTGTGGGTTGCTTGCACAGCTGTGTAAGCCGAGGTCCTAAGAAGGAGTAATGCCTCGCCGAGGTCAGCGCTAGCCCGGACCTAGCTAACACCCAACCCCAGACACACGAGTAGTGACAGTGGCAAGGAACAGTTTATTGGCCAAGGTGAAGGCACGAGGGGGCAGCACGCGTGAGCAGTGAGGGGGCAGACTTCCCCAGTGACCTAGAAATCCATGTCCTCGACCAGGTCCTGGAGGTAGGCCTTGTACTGGTCTGAGGTGAGAGTGAGGGGGTAGCTGTTGGAAATGTGCAGGTCCACAGTGTTCTCCAGTGAGGAAGCGCCCCCTGACCGTGCCATGTCCAGCAGGGCCCTGAGGCATGTGGGAACAACCTGCGGGAGGTGGGGGGAGAAACAGGAGTCAGGGGAAACACTCAACACTACTTACTGGCAGGGGCGGGGCTGAGTGGACTACAACTCCCAACAGCCCCCACGATAACCCAGGATGAACCATTAGGCCCAGGGCTGCTGGGAGTTGTACTTTTCCCCATAACCACAACCACCAGCAGCCTGAGAAGTTTCCTAGGGCTGAGATGCTGGAGGGGTTCCCAGAAGCTAGGGCTGAGCAGCTTGTGGTCAGAAGGACTCCTAGGAGCTGTAGTTCCTCACAGAGGCTGCTAGGACTTGTAGTCCACCGACTTCCACATGGCTTTGAGAGTTCAAAACAGGTTCTGGGGGTGAGGCCATGAGAGGGACACCCAGAAGCTCCTGGGGATGAGGAACTGGTGGTTGCAGAGACTCTTGGAAGTTGCAGTTCCTCAGAGGGGCTTCTGCGAGTTGTAGTTCCTCCTCCCTTTGTTAAGATCCACCCCTTAGCTCCAGGAGCCCAGGACTGCAGCACCTTGACCATCACGAGCTTCTTGGTCCACGGCTGGTCCTGGGGCCATGGCTCCCCCACGCAGAACCAGAGGGTGTAGCGTGGTGAGTGTCGGCTTCCTTCAATGAAGGCAATCAGATCTGGGGGCCCGAGATCCTAGTCAGTCATGGGAGGAGGACCCCACCACCACCACCTGCCCCTCCCTGATCCCCAAACCTATCAGCCTCACCTTCTCCCCTGACCCGAAGCCTGACATACCTACACCACCATGACCAGATGGCTGCTGACCTAGGAAAAGTCCCGGCACAATCTTAAAATGCTTTTCCTCCCATCAGGGTGGGGCTGGAAGATCTGCACCGCTCCCCTATTTGGGATAGGAAGGAGTACACTCCCCACAAGGATGGTCCCTGATTCTGGAGTACAAGGTGGTTGGAGTACAAGGTGGTTGGCAGTTGCTACTCTTTAACCCCCGAAGGCCACGTTCTCCTGATAGTAGCCTAAAGGACTTCTCTCTCCTGTGTCTGTCTATCCACACTAATAACTGATAATAACGAGGACTATGGCAGTTAATTCCTCGAGCATTTTCTGCACACTGGGCCCTGTGCCTCCTACCGGCTCCAGCAGAGGAGACACTCCTCGGGCAGACTCAGAGCAGTCCCATCTTTTGCCCCAGGTTATAACACTAGCAAAGCAGTAGGGTCTGAATTGGAACTCGGGTCTGGAGGTTTGAAATCTTTTTTTTTTTTTTTTTTTTTTAAGAGAGAGAGAGAGTGGCAGGGAGGGCAGAGGGAGAGGAAGAGAGAGAGGATTTTTTTTTTTAAGATTTTATTTATTTGATACAGAGAGGAAGCATAAGTGGGGAGGAGGAGGGCCAGAGGGAGAGGAAGAAGCAGACTCCTTGCTGAGCAGGAAGCCCGATATGGGGCTTGATCCCAGGACCCTGAGATCATGACCTGACCTGAAGGCAGACGCTTAACCGACTGAGCCGTCCAGGTGCCCCAAGAGAGAGAATCTTAAGCAGGCTCCACGATCAGTGCAGAGCCCAACCTGGGGCTTGATCTCACGACCCTGAGATCATGACCCAAGCCGAAATCAAGAGTCAAACGCTTGGGGCACCTGGGTGGCTCAGATGGTTAAGCATCTGCCTTCAGCTCGGGGCACGATCTCAGGGTCCTCGGATCGAGCCCCATATCAGGCTCCTGGCTCAGCGAGGAGTTTGCTTCTCCCTCTCCCTCTGCCTCTCTCCCCTGCTCATATTCCCTCTCTCTCTATCTCTCTCTCTGTCACATGAATAAAAAAGAAAAAGTCAAACACTTAACCTCCTGAGCCCCCCAGGCGCCCCCAGTGACCGTGACCTACTCTTCCCACAGCAGAGCTATAAGGCCTTGCCTCACTCACCTGACATGAAGGGCCTCAGGTCGAACACGTCTCCTTCCTCATCCTTGGGGACCTCGCCGCTGGGTCCATGACTGCTGTCAGGGAGGAGCTCCTCGCCCAAGGCCCAGTATGTGTGGCAGTGCCCCAGCCTCCGGGCCCAGAGCCGCTGTCCTGCCCTGCACAGAGCTAGTCCCCCGCCCAGGTAGCTCAGCACACGCCTCACGTAGCCCATCACGCCCCTGTCTGTTAGCGACACCCCAGGGTCTGGCAGTATTATTGGCTGTCCGGGCAGCGTCCTGTCCCCTCCTTCTGATGCTACCAGCCGTAGGCCCCTCGGGCAGAAGACAGTCTGCTGGAAGACTTGGCGGCCCCGGTAGAAGGCAGTCACCTCGAACTCCCACTCTGAGCAGTGGCAGAAGTGACATGAAGGGGGAGCAAGATTGAGAGAGCATTAGGGGGCACAGCGCCCCAGCACCTCCCACCCCACAGCTGGCACTCACCTTCCTCAGGCAACAAGAGCTGCCTCAGTGGGTTTTCAGGGGGCTCCGAGTTTGGGCAGGGAGCAGGGATGTCTATGGTGGGGCTCAGCAAGAATGGAAGGGTCTGCTCAGGGACCAAAGCCAGGCTCGAGGGCCCCCCCTCTGGGAATGGGGCCAAGACCATTTCACCCAGTAACTCTAGTACATCTTCCTGGAGAGAAGAAAAGAATAGGATCTGGACATTTCCATAGCCTTTTCTAGAGACTTCACGTAGACCAAGGCCTTGGAATCCAGGGAGGAGTCAGACCTGAGCTTTGCCCTCAAGGGGCTTCCTGTAAGGCGGGATGGGGGCTCTGGAGACAACCATGGGCACAGACAGCAAAATATATGCTCTTGTATATGCTGAGTGCTACTGTTGGCCCCAGGGGAGCAGCTAATTCCAGCCCAAGGATCTGGCCTTGTGCAAGCAAGACCTGGGCAGAGAAGGCTGGACACAATTTCAGAGGGGACTTGCCCTGGCACAGACATCAGCAAGATCAAGGGTAGGGTGGTTCAGGGTTCCCAAGAGGCTAAAGGTACTCTAAATAGCAACGGAGGCTATGAAATTCTGGGAAGGTGTCTTAGAGTACTAAACGCCTGGTGAAAGTTCTGAACTTTCTCCTGAGGACGCTGGAAGCCATGGAAGGGCTATAAGCAGGGGAGGGTCAGGGTCAGCTCTAGATCGGTTGGGGGACAGCCTGCAGGGGAGAGGATGGAGGCTCAGGAAGAAGACTGGGGTGATGGTCCCGGGGGAGAGGGGGATGCCTGAACAAGGCCGTGGGGACACAGAGAGAAGATGGGTCAGACTGAGGGCAGGAGGGTTGGGGTGCATTCTTACCTGGGTATCCGAGGTACTGCATCTGCCATTGCCGTCCGGAGAGGTGTCCGACTCAGGGAAGTTCCCAGCTCCTGTCGAGGAAGGTGGTGAGTGGAGTAGGGTGTTGGGGACGCTCAAAATCCCATCCCTCCATGTGAAGCCTCACTTCTGGCACACCTGAGATCACAAACTCATAGACCTTGTGCGGGTCCTGGGGGTCCTTGCTCCGATCCTCGGCTAAACGCAACCCCTCCTTCCGGTTCAGGGCGGATCGGAAATTCCTCTTCCAGGTGGGCAGATCAGGTTTATCCTTTCCAGGAGTGTAGGCACCGCTGGCCTCGGCCCACGCCTGGGGATGCAGTGGGTACCAGGATAGTGAGGAGGATGACTAAGACCGCGCCCCAAGGGTTCGCTCCCCTGGCACGTTCTAACTCGGCACGGATCCATCCCCAAACTCTTGGCTTCTCTGCATCCTAAGGCCCCCTATCTTCACCTTTTGAAAAGCTCTGCTTTATAAGTCAGCCTTCCAGGTCCTACTGGGTGTCTAACTCTGCCACCAACCTGCCCCAGGACACCTTCTGTAGTAACCCCGCCCCCTCGCACTCTAACTCGGGTTACCACCACTGCTGTATCCTAATTTCGTGAGAAATCACCTCAGCTTCGGGGCCACGACTCGCCTCTAAGGCTCTGAGACCCGCCCCCAGAATTCTAGGACCAAGAGACCCGCCCCCTGCGAGCCCAGAATGCCCAGTTTGCATTTCTTTCGAGTTCTAACCCCGCTTTTCCGGTTCTTTTTCCGGAACCCGGCCGCTCCAACCTTGCCTGCTATCCGACACCAGTCGGCTGTTCCTACTAACCCTGACCAGTCTTGTCCTAACTCCACTCACCTCCACCTGCCGGCGTCACCGCCTGCCAACAGCACGCGTGCTAACCCGGCTTTCTCGGCTCCGCCCCCTGCAAGTCCACCCCTCCCGGCTGTTAACTCAGGGTTCCCCGCGTCCGGGAAGCTCACGCACCTGGAAGATGCCGAAGTCCTCCTGCTGGGCATCCTGCCGCAAGCCGTGCTTCCAGGGGATGCGGAAGCGCGTGCGGTTCTCGTCCAGCCAGGCTACCCCCTCCAGCTGCCCCAGGTCCAGCTGCGACACCAGCCAGGGCAAGATCCGTGGCTTTGGGGTTCCCATGGTCCGGCCTGCGCTTAGAGGGCAGTTCGTGGGCGCGGATGGCTTCATAGGCCCACCCGGCCCGAGGGTTCCGCACCCAGACCTTCCTCTCTTGGGGACGCGGTGCAATGTCCCTCACTTATGTTTTCCTGGGGTATAAAACAGGACACCTCCTCTTTTCATCCTCCAGACAGGCTCCCCCAATTCATCGAGGACTTCCTCCCCAATGCATTTGAGAACCCCCCTTCTTTCCCCACCTACTTCTGTGCAGACCCCCTAACCTTCCCAATTCCGCCAGTGTAGATCCTTCCTTCTTCCGTTGTAAACCCTTTTCTCCTCTCCCCTCCCCCACATCACCCAATGCAGTTACCTTCACTTCCAAGGTAGAGCCTCCCCTAGTTATTTCAGGGCATACGTTGTTCACTTGTAGATCTCTACCTCCCGCACTTATCCGTGTTGTAGACCCCTTCTACAATTCCCCCACAGAAAAGCCCCTCACCCATTTCTACCGTAGACCGTCCCATCCACCCCCCCCCCAACAGCCTGCCTTCTGTAGGGCGCGCGCGCGCACACACACACACTTTATAGAGTGGACTGCCTCCCATTCTCAGGGTCCACCCTTCTCTCCCTTAGATCCCCCAGTGCAGACTCCTGCCCTCCCCCCACTCCCCGCTACTTTTCCTGGGTTTTTTTTACAGCCGACCTCCAGCACCGGCCATTGCTTCACTTTTTCCCCCTCGTTGCTTCCCTTTCCCTAGAGTACACAGTGCCTCTCTGGACTCAGGGCAGACCCTTTCTTTCTTGCGCTTCTCGGCCCGGACGCCACCAATTCCCCAGATCCTCCCTGTTACCTACGTAGAAGGTCGGGACGCGCAGGGTGCTAGGACCCACCCCTGCCTTTTGGGGTCCGATAGCTCTCGAACTTGCAGCTGCACACCCTCCTTGCTGTCAGCTGAGCTTCAGAGCAATGCGGTTTTCTTTTCTATCGATTTCACGAAATAAAAACAACTTTATCTGCGGTGGGTTGACAGACTCCACAGCTAAAGAGGCGGCACCGAGAGCCCGGACGCCCTGCCCCCATGCCCTTTTTAGGCCTTCCGGCCAACGGCATGCTGGGAACGTCACATGCAAATTAGATGGGCATCCGGCGCCCCGCCCCTCCCACAATAGGGCCGTCACCAACTCGGACCAGTGCGCAGGCGCGGGAGAGTTGTTCTAAGAAAAGTTTTTGCAAGTTTGGTGAAGGAGGAGGGGGTGGCGGCTCCGACCCCAGGTAAGCCGGGCTTTTGGGAGGGCTGGGGTGAGAAGGGAAGAGGCCGGGATCTCGGGGCCGGCACCTCAGTCCCGCTTCCCCGACATCCATGCGCCCCGTGTCCCCAAGATTCCAGCCTTGGTCAGATAAGGGAACTACACCTCCCAAGCCGGCTGCGCGGCTAGCTAGTGCGGACCGAGGGGAAGGTTTGCCGTGAAGCCTGCTGGGATTCGTAGTTCCCGATTCTCTAAGAGCTTGAGCAGCTTGGCATATGCCTTCAGAATCCAGAAGTCGGAGCCGCAAGTCCCCTTCTCTCTCAGACTCAAGAATTCAGATCCCCCCAACCCTCTTCTCCGAAAACTCGAGTCCAGCCCCCAGTTCCTTTCTCCCTTAGACCCCGGAATCCGGGTCTCCAGCCTCTTCCTCTCCAAGGATCAAGGAGTCTTCGTCTTCATCCCTCTTCTCCCTCTGAGGACTCAAGAGTCTGGGTTCCCAGACCCTAACTCCCCTAAAGGATTTAGGAGTTCAGACTATCAGCCCTTTCTTCCCTTGGGGACTCACGGTTCCTGGCCCCCTCCTTATTCAGGGACTAGGCATTTGGGCCCCAATCCTCCACCTCAATTCAACCCTGGAGTCCATCCCCCGGCTCCTTTCACAGGTGCCCCATGGCAGGCTCGGAAGAGCTGGGCCTCCGGGAGGACACGGTGAGAGTCTTAGCTGCCTTCTTTAGGCGAGGTGAGCCTGCTGGGTCCCCCATTCCAACCCCACCCAGGTAAGAGGGGTTGCCCTCCTCCCTCAGGGGCCTGCATCTGGGGTAGGGCCCTCTCTAACTCTCATGCCTGGTCTCAGTCTGTCTGCGTTCCCCTCTCTTTATATCTGGCTCTTTTCCTCATCCCTGGGGTTGCAGCGAGAGGCCCTCAGTGGGAGGAAAAAGGGGCTGCTTGCAAAGGGGCCTCTGGTGTCACTCTCTGAGGTCCCCTTCCCCAGGAGTCCTGCCCAGGAGGAGCCAACAGATTTCCTGAGCCGCCTTCGAAGATGTCTTCCCTGCCCCCTGGGGCGAGGAACAGTTCCCCCTGAATCCCCTCGGCCTTGCTCCCTGCCCCTCCGCCCATGCTATGTTTCAGAGCCTGGTAAGAGATTTCCTAGATCACCCATGAACTTACAGGGCCAAAGCTTTGATTCTTTTTTTTTTTTTTTTTTAAGACGCTTTGATTCTTTTTTTTTTTTTTTTAAGATTTTTATTTATTTATTTGAGACAGAGAGAATGAGAGAGAGAGAGCACATGAGAGGGGGGAGGGTCAGAGGGAGAAGTAGACTCCCTGCCGAGCAGGGAGCCTGATGCGGGACTCGATCCCTGGACTCCGGGATCATGACCTGAGCCGAAGGCAGTCGCTTAACCAACTGAGCCACCCAGGCGCCCTAAGACGCTTTGATTCTTAAAACCATAGAAAGGATAAGGAGCTAGCCCAAGATCACTCAGCTAAGAGGGGAGCTGAGTGTGGACTACCCTCACCATTCTCTGCTCCCCCCACCCCCAGTTACATTGCTGTCAGTTCTGTGAGCTGGCTTCACAGGGGGGGCTTTTGGTCCCTTTCTGTTTGTTATCTCTCTCCTCCCATGCATGCTTCCCTACCCCTGGGACTTTGTGGCTACCAGTACCCCCAGTAGGGAGGCAGGAGATCTGGTTTTCAGTCACAGCTCCCTGGCTGTTTGGTTACATGACTCTGGAAACTCCTTTTCTTTCTTGCTCCTATATTTCTCCAGAAGCAAAGTAGGAATGTGTGCATGTGTGTGTGTGTGGGGGGGATGTCCTTGGACTTGATCAAGAGTAACCAAAAGGTTTCCTCTCATATGTGAGCCTTGATAGACTAGTAATGGCTACCGGGAGTGCCAGCTTGAAAAGGATTTCACAGCTGGGGAGAAGAGTTCTGTGATCAGTTGATGACGCCTGAAACCAGCAAGGGATAGAGTGTTAGTAGTTGGAGTGCCCTGTGTTTGCCTTTCTTGGATAGGATCATCTTCAAGGTCTATTTCAGCTCTAACATTCTAACTCTAGTTTGAGGGACACAATAAAATGGAAAGTATCAAGGCCTTTTACCAAGTGTGCTCACTGGGCCCCATTATGAAATGGAAATCATTGCTACCTGGCAAGGTGGTTGTGACAAGGGGACAATCCATAACTTCCCAATGTCCCGGAGACCCATCATTGGCTCTTTTCACCCAAGGCCCAGCTACTCCAGACTTCTATGCTCTGGTGGCCCAGCGGCTGGAACAGCTGGTCCAAGAGCAACTGAGATCCCCACCTAGCCCAGGTGAGGTACCGAGGGGCCCCGGAGAAGGATGAGGGCAGAAGGGTGGGCAGGGTTCTGCCCCCAGCTGAATTCTCTTCTGCTCCCCAGAGTTACAGGGAGCCCCACCCACAGAGAAGGAAGCCCTACTGCGGAAGCTGGTGGCCTTGCTGGAGGAAGAGGCAGAAGTCATCAATCAGAAGGTGACAGGCAGTCTGTTCCATCCCTTAGCTAAGATAGGGATTGCGGATTGTCAGGCACTGGGATCAGAACCTGGATCTGCATTCTCATTAGATGGTCAGGTGAGGAGAGGGTGGGACTCGGCTTCTATGAAGGGTTTGTAACGGGGTCCAAGCTCATTCTGCTCCCAGCATCACAGGCCAATGAGCCGAGAGGCAAGATGTTGGGGTAAGGAAAGCAACTTTATTTGGAAAGCCAGCACACCGAAGAGATGGCAGACAAGAGATGGCAGACAATCGTCTCAAAGAACCATCTCCCCCAGCATGAGATTTGAGCTTCTTTTATGTTAGGAATGGGAGAAGGGGGAGGGGATTGGAGTGAAAAAGTGACTGACGTCTGTAGACAACAGAGGAAGGTTGTGTAACTTCTTTTGTCCTTGGTCACTTTTGTTTGTTTTTAAGAGGTTTTGGGGCACCTGGGTGGCTCAGTCATTAAGTGTCTGCCTTCGGCTCAGGTCATGATCCCGGGGTCCTGGGACCAAGCCCCTGCTTAGGGCTCCCTGCTCAGGGAGTCTGCGTCTCCCTCTCCCTCCGTCTGCTGCTCCCCCTGCTTGTGCTCGCTCTCTCTCTTTCTGTCAAATAAATAAATAAAACCTCTTAAAAAAATAAAATAGAGAAGTTTTATTTATTTATTAGAGATTTTATTTATTTGAGGGAGAGAAACAGAGAGCACGAGCAGTGGGGAAGGGAGAGGGAGAAGCAGACTCCAGGCTCAGCGGGGAGCCTGATACGGGGCTTGATCCCAGGACCCTGAGATCTTGACCTGAGCGGAAGGCAGACCCTTAACCGACTGAGCCACCCCGGCGCCCTATCCCTGGTCACTTGATCTTTGTGTACAGGTCATGTCTCGTTCCTATAAATCTTACATAGAGCATAGTCATTTCTGTAAGTACTTCCTTATCTCCTCTGGTGAGGTAGATTTCCAGTAAAAAAGCCGTTTTTGAGAATCTTAGCTGTCACATGCCTACGTGCAGGGCTAAGCAGAAGTTTCTAAACTATAGGTCCCAGCAGGAAGGGATATAGAAGCAGTATGGAGTCAGACGTGCTAAACTTCTCCGCTACAGGTTGAACACAGAGTTATGGTCAGGGTAGTACCTTAAACCCTGGCTTGCAGTCACCGTAAGAGGGGCGTGGCCTAAAGACAAGGGGTGTGGCCACCCAAAACATGATCTGGGAAACTGACTGGGACCAGTTGAGGAATCAGGGACTGTAAGGTGGTGGGCGGGGGTTTGGTTTGGAGAGGGCTGTCTAAAATCTGAAGCCCTGGTTAACTATATAGGGGTATGCCTTAGAATGTTGGGGGAAATGAACTGCCGGTGAAGGTCTGGCCTATGACTCGGTCCTGGAAGTGGATTGGCTCAGAAGCTTGGGCAAAGTGTATGATCCTATAATATCAATTGTAAGGTGGAAGGCAAGGTTGTTGTAGGCACCGGCCTGGTCTCCGAGGCTCTCAGGGAACCTGTAGGGGGCGTGGCTATAAGATCTGTGTTCTAGAACTCAGCTAATTAGGGCTTGGCCCTCATTGGCTGTCGGCCACCTGTCCGGGAGTAGTTTGGCAGAGACCACAGATTCTGGTTTATGATTGGCTGGTGTGATGGGTGGGGCGTGGCTTTGAGCCTCAGTGTCAGGACTGCTTCCACCAGGAAGCCACGCCTCCTAGCCTCCTATTGGCTGGCTACGGAGGCGTGGGGGAGGCCGACCCAGCCTCTTCTCTTCCCACCCCACAGCTGGCCTCGGACCCCGCCCTGCGCAGAAAGCTGGCCCGCCTCTCCGCGGGCTCCTTCGCCCGCCTAGTGGAGCTCTTCTCCAAACGGGAGGACAGCCCTCTTGCCAGCCGCCCACGCCCCAACTTGCCCTGCCCTGGGCCCCCGCCGCCTTCCCCGGAGCCCCTGGCCCGTCTGGCCCTGGCCATGGAGCTGAGCCGCCGCGTGGCCCGGCTGGGGGGCACCCTGGCCGGACTCAGTGTGGAGCACGTGCACAGCTTTGGGCCCTGGATCCAGGCACACGGGGGCTGGGTGAGCTGCCCGAAAGCTTCTCTGGGCCTCCCATTACCCAATTGTAACTCGTGTCTGTGTGGTGGGGGGGGGGGGGGGGGCGGGCAGCTTCTTCGGCTTCTTTTCAGACATGACAAATATTCTCCCAGCCCAATCATTCATCTGTTTTGTGTTTATTGAGCACCTACTGTCCACCAGTAGGTAATTAGTGCAGACGCTTAAACCATTCGGATATACACTGACAGTTATGAGTGGGAAACAAGGGAGACCCCTTCCTGGGCCTCGGTTTCCTTATCTGTCAGGTGGGGAGAGTAGAAGTACCAATCTCAAAGGGTTATTGTAAAGATTAAAATGGGATCATCTCTGTAAGTCCTTGGCACCCTGTGGGCATTTGCGTGATTATCTGGTGCCTGTCTGCCTCTTTGAGACTGCCTGCCAGAATGCGCTTGCCCAGGTATCCCCCTGCCTCGCTTCCTCTGCTCCATTCAGGTGTCACCCCCCAGTGAGGCCTCCCCTGGTCCCCATTTAAAACTGCCCCACCTCCATACCCTCCTACCCACTCCCTTTCCCTCTTCATTGCTTTACTTCCTTCCGTAACACTCTGCACCTGCTAACACACAGCTTCTACCATATGGTAGGATTGACTCGTTCTACTTATTATTTCTTTTTATTTTTTGTTTTCTCTTGCCCCTGACCTATCAGCTTCACAAGACCAGGGAGTCTTACCTACCTCGCTCGCTGCTTTAAATCCAGTGCCAGGCTCAGAGCTGGATTGGGCTCCCGTGTACGGGGAGTGTGACCGTGGCAACGTCCCCAGCTACCTGAGCACCAGTTTCCCCCCGCCCAGCGGGCACCTTTCACTTACCTGCCTCGTCGCTGTGGGGATTCAGGGACAGAAAGATGTATGCCATGCTCTCTCAGGATGTAACCCTTGCTTCACAACCTGCCAGGGGCTGGCCAGGTGTTTGAGGAGCAGAGAGGAGGCCAGTAGGGCCGAAGCAGGGTGAGCGAAGAGGAGAGGGCCAGAGACAAGAGCAGGAGGGGCGGGGCCTTGTGAAGGTAAGAACTTGGACCGACCCTGAGTGAGCCCAAGTCCCTAGAGCTCTCTGAGCAGAGGCCGACGTGAACTGATTTAGGTGTTAACTCGCGCCCTCTAGCGGCCTCGTGGGGCAATACTGTAGAGGGCGAGGCGGAAGTAGGGAGTTGGGAGGTGTCTGCTCTTTCAGGGAGATGAGGGTTGATGGGACCACGGTGGGGGTATTGGAGGAGTCTCCCAGTTAATTTAGAGGTAGAGCTGACAGATTTTGCTTATGGAGTGGATTACGAGTGCTATTAATGAGTGCTAATGAGTGGAAGACGGAAGTCAAGGATGCTGGCCTGAGCAGCGGTAGGGATGCATGTGGTGCTCCCTGAGACAGGGAGGAGCAAGGGGGATGAGGAGCAGGTTTGAAGAAGAGTCAGAGATGAGTGGAAGTGGTCCAGTTAGGGGAGAGATGCCCTTCAGACCTCAAAGGGAGAGGAGGAGGGGACCGTGGATATGCGTGTCTGGAGCTCAGTGCAAAAGCTTGTTTATTTGTGGGTTTTGTTTTGTTTTGTTTTTTTGGCCACGTGCACAGCCAAGGACTTTTAGTGGAATGATTCCATCCATTTAAACCCCACAGCAACCTTATGGGATTGGATGTTATCCCGATTTTATGGAGATTGAGGGAAAGTCCCTCATCAGAGGATTGGACTCAGGACTTTGACGCAAAGCCAGGGCTCTTGATCGTTAAAACTCCAGGACCCTGGTCCCTGTCTCTGAGTCTCTGGTCCCTGTCTCTCTATCTCCCCGCCACTGGTGCTCTGCCCTCCACCCTGGGGCTTTGTCTCTCCTCCCTTTTTCCAGAACTCTGTCCCCATCCACCCATGGGGCTCTGATTCTTTGGATCCCTATCCCCCTACCCCTAGCCCTGTCTCTGCTGTCACTGGGCTGGTGGAGATGCCAGTGTGAATGGAGGACAGGCTCTTTCTGTGAATGCTCACGAGCTCTTCCACTTTTCCCCTCCAGGAGGGCATCCTGGCCATTTCACCCGTGGACTTGAACTTACCCCTGGACTGAGATCTTCTTCAGAAGCTGCTACAAGATTAGACCTCCTGTCTCTATGCTCTTTGTGTGCTTTTCCAAGCCTTCCTATTCCACTCAGGGTTGTGGGGTGGTGGCTGCCCTCCCTGTTTTTGCCAAAAAGAAATTGTTTAAAATTTTTTCATATTAAAAACTTTTTCAGGTATTGAATTGTTTGTCCTTTCTCTCAAAAACTAAAGTTCTGGGCGCCTGGGTGGCTCAGTTGGTTAAGCGACTGCCTTCGGCTCAGGTCATGATCCTGGAGTCCCGGGATCGAGTCCCACATCGGGCTCCCTGCTCAGCAGCGGGTCTGCTTCTCCCTCTGCCCTCTTCCCTCTCGTGCTCTCTGTCTTTCATTCTCTCTCAAATAAATAAATAAAATCTTAAAAAAAAAAACAACAACTAAAGTTCTAAGTGGGAGATTTGGCTAAGAGATCTCTCTCTTTCCGGTTTATGAATTGAGGAAAGAGCCAATTCATTCATTCTAGAAATACTTATTCGGAGCACCTTCAAGTGCCTGTCATTTGAACATACAGCATACTTGAGGATATCTGTGGATACGATTCCAGCTAATCCCATTTTTTTTCCTGTTGCATGATTTATTTATTCCAGCTTATCCTATGTTGATGATCATGACGTCTTTCTAGCTAGTTCCAGAAGAAAGCTATAATCTTCCTGCATGGGGCATCCAGAATACCACCCTCTTCTTGTTTTTCTCCTCCCACTGCTCCTTCTGAACCTTTTTGGCTGGTTACTCCTCATCTATATTTAGACCAGAGGGTAGTCACTTTTTAGGGCTATCGACCCCTTCACAAAATTATGTCTGTAAACACATAAAATCAGATGCACAGGATTACAAAGGAAGCTACTTAACAGTTGATCTTCATTATTCATGGATTCCGTATTTGTGAATTTGCCTACTCACTAAAATTTATTTGTAGCCCCCAAGTTAACACTCACTGGGCTTTTGTGGTTGTTGGTAGGCATGCAAATGCTCAGAGCAGCAAGATTTGACTCACCCAACATATACCTTTTCGGCTAAGATTGAGCAAGAGGACACTCTGCCTTCTTGCTTCTGCTCTCATACTGCAAATAAGCATCCTTTCCTCGAACTATTTAGTGCCACATTTCTTGGCATATTTGTACTTTTATTTTAGAGAGCATGTGAGTTGGGGGAGGGGCAGAGGGCGAGGGAAAGAATCCTCAAGCAGACTCCCTGCTGAGTGCAGACCCCAATGCAGGGCTTGATCCCAAGGCCCTGAGATCATGACCCAAGCCAAGACCAGGAGTCAGATGCTGAACCGACAGAGCCACCCAGGTGCCCCTGATTTCATTGTTTAAAATGACCCCAAGAGTGTTCCTAAGTGCAAGAAGGCTGGGATGTGCCTTTGTTAGGATAAGCTTTGTTCAGGCATGAGTTCTAGTGCTGTTGGCTGTGAGTTCAGTGTGAACAAATCACTATATATTCAATAAGGTGTATTTAAACAGAAACCACATCAAATAAGGTTACGTATTGACGGGTTGACAAAAGCTGTAACGAGGCTGACAGGAAGCCGACCCTGTATTTCCTCCAGGAACAAAAGCTCTGTGTTCACTAAGTCGGTGTCCACAGTGACTTTATAGAACAAAACTACCACAAATAGTAAGAATCGGCTGTATTTTGAAATAAAGATTTCATGGGGCGCCTGAGTGGCTGCCTTTGGCTCAGGTCATGATCCCAGGGTCCTGGGATCGAGCCCTGCATCGGGCTCTCTGCTTGGAAGGAAGCTTGCTTCTCCCTCTCCCACTCCCCCTGCTTGTGTTCCCTCTCTCGCTGTCTCTCTCTCTCTCTGTCAATTAAATAAATAAATAAAATCTTAAAAAAGAAAAAGAAAGATTTCAATATTAACATAAAAGTTACTGGTATAATAATACGTGTGCTTCTTCATTAACACGCTAATTAAAAAGACCTATGGTGGGTCTCATAACCATGTTTCCTAAGTAGAGCAGGAATGACATTTTGAGGTGTATTAGTTATTGCTGTGTAACAAATCGCACAAATTTGGCAGCTTGCATACACATTTATTTTTATTTATTTATTTGAGAGAGAGAGAGGCAGAAATAGCGACAGAGAGCATGAGCAGGGAGGAGAGGGAGAAGCAGACTCCCCGCTGAGCAGGGAACCCCCCCCAACGTGGGGCTTCATCCCAGAACCCCAGGATTGTGACCTGAGCCAAAGGCAGATGCTTAACCGACTGAGCCACCCAGGCACCCCACAGTACACATTTATTAATCACAGTCTCTGTGGGTAAGGGATGTGGGTGCAGCTCAGCTGAATGCTCTGCTTAGGGTCTCACCAGGGTGTGATCAGAGTCCCAGCTTCTGTCTCATTGGAGGCTTGGGGGTCCTTTGCCCAGTGCACATGCTGTTGGCCGAATTCATTTCCTCGCCACTGTAGGACTCACGGTGGGGACCAGCAGGAGAACCAGTGTGACCTCAGGGAAGGGCTAAGGCCCCTTTTAAAGGGCTTCCATCTGGGGCTCCTGGTAGAGCATGTGACTCTTGATTTCGGGGTTGTGAGTTCAAGCTCCAAGTTGGGTGTGGAGTTTACTTTAAAAAATTAAAACATAATAGGGCGCCTGGGTGGCTCAGTTGGTTAAGCGACTGCCTTCGGCTCAGGTCATGATCCTGGAGTCCCGGGATCGAGTCCCGCATCGGGCTCCCTGCTCAGTGAGGAGCCTGCTTCTCCCTCTGACCCTCCCCCTCTCAAGCTCTCTCTCTCTCTCTCTCAAATAAATAAATAAAATCTTTAAAAAAAAATTAAAACATAATAAATAAATAAATAAATAATAAAGGGCTTCCATCTGATTAAGTCAGGCCTCCCCAGGATAATCTCCCTTTTAATTAAGGTTAACGGATGTAGGGCCTTAATTACATATGCAAAATCTCTTCACCTTTGCCATATAAGGTAGCCTAGTCAGAGTGATACCCATCTTTTTTGTCATATAGGTCAGCCTGCTCCTTTGTATATCACGCTAGGGGCAGAGATCCTGGAGGCTATCTTAGAATTCTACACATTGGGATGCCCGGGTGGCTTAGTCATTAAGCATCTGCCTTTGGCTCAGGTCATGATCCCAGGGTCCTGGGATCGAGTTGTGCATCGGGCTTCCTGCTCAGTGGGGAGACTGCTTCTCCCTCTGCCTGCCGCTCGCCCTGCTTGTGCTGTCTCTCTCTCTCTGACAAGTAAATAAAATCTAAAAAAAAAGAATTCTGCCCATCACATGAGTACTGGCAACAATTTGTGTGACAGGCAAGCATCTGTGATTTATGTTGGGGACCAGGCCACAGCAACTAATGTTATTTTGATACTTTGATGTGTTGCCCATATTCTTAATTGAAGGAAGGACAAAGTTCCAGTTTAGGGAGAGATGTCAATCTCTCCCATCCTAGTTCACAACGCCTGAAATTTTTTTTTTAAGATTTTATTTATTGGGCGCCTGGGTGGCTCAGATGGTTAAGCGTCTGCCTTCGGCTCAGGTCATGATCCCAGGGTCCTGGGATCGAGTCCCGCATTGGGCTCCCTGCTCAGTGGGAAGCCTGCTTCTCCCTCTGCCTCTCTCTCTCTCTGTCTCTTATGAATAAATAAAATCTTAAAAAAAAAAAGATTTTATTTATTTGTCAGAGAGAGAGAGAACAAAGCAGGGGGTGCAGCAGGCAGAGGGAGAAGCAGGCTCCTCGTTGAGCAGGGAGCCCGATGCGGGGCTCAATCCCAGGACCCTCGGATCATGACCTGAGCCGAAGCTTAACTGACTGAGCCACCAGGCATCTCCACAATGCCTGAATTTGCAATGTGACCCAAGTCAAGAACCTGCTAGAAGTCCGTGTGCCTTCTGTAATCATACTGACTCCCCAGTGATCTTTTTTTTTTATTCTTATGTTAATCCCCATACATTACATCATTAGTTTTAGATGAAGTGTTCCATGATTCATTGTTTGTGCATAACACCCAGTGCTCCATGCAGAATGTGCCCTCCTCAATACCCACCACCAGGCTAACCCATCCTCCCACCCCCCTCCCCTCCCCAGTGATCTTGTCCACCTCGTGGTCTGTGACCTAATGCAACACTGGCCAATACAGGGTATGAGCCATATATATCAGTTAGAATGTTACATGCTAGCGCTGTTAAAGCAAAGTAAAAAGTAACTGGTAGGGGTGCCTGGGTGGCCTGGCTGCTTAAGTGTCTGACTTGGTTTTGGCTCTGGTCATGATCTTGGGGTCCAGGGATCGAGGCCCGTGTGGGCTCTGTGCTCAGCGGGAAGTCTGCTTGAGATTCTCTCCATCTGCCCCTCCTGCTCCTGCTCTCTCTCAAATAAATAAATAAATCTTAAAAAAAATAAATAAATAAAAAGCAACCGGTAAATTAATTTCAACAACTTCTATCCACCCCGTGTATCCAAAATAAAATCAATTCAACATGTAATCACTATAAAAATATTCATGAGATACTGCAGATTCTTTTTTATTTTTTATTTGTTTATTTTTAAAGATTTTATTTATTTATTTGAGAGAGAGAGAGAGACAGTGAGAGAGAGCAGGAGCAGGGAGAGAGGGAGAAGCAGGTTCTCCGCTGAGCAGGGAGCCGGATCCCAGGACCCTGGGATCATGATCTGAGCTGAAGGCGGGTGCTTAACCTACTGAGCCACCCAGGCGCCCCTGTAGATTCTTTTTTAACTATGAAGTCTTCACCACTTGGAACACATCTCATTCAGACTTGCCACAGCCCAGTGTTCATTAGCCCCCACGTCAGGAGTGGCTGCCATCTTGGAAAATGCATAATTTGACACTGACAAATCTCCCATCTCTGACTTCAGCTCAGACCTCTTCCCTGGACTCTGTATGTGTGTATCCCCCTGCCCAGTGCCACCTCCTTTTCAATCACATTAAGTTATTTCCTAGTGTTAAAAAGATATTTTGTTGGGCACCTAGGTGGCTCAGTCGGTTAAGCATCTGCCTTTGGCTCCCCCTCCCTCAGGGTCCCTGCTCAGCGGGGAGCCTGCTTCTTCCTCTGCCTGCCACTCCTCCTGCTTGTGTGCTCTCTCTCTGTCAAATAAATAAATAAAATCTTAAAAAAAAAAAGATAGTTTGTTATAATTTTTTGTTCTTAGTAGCAGCACAGAGCAAAAGTAATTGA